TGGGGTGTTCGTCGGTGTCGTCGCGGTCCAGTGCTGCTGCTGCTGCCTCATCTTCTGGAGTCGCGAAGCTGCGACCGCTGTTCACATAGCCGCGTGCCTTGTTGCGTCGCTCGTCCGCGATCCACTGCTCCAAGGTGAGCCGTTCGTAGAAGAGAATATCACGCGCGGGAACAACCTCCTTGCTGTCCATGTCGAGGATGAGCCAACCCTTGTGCTCATTACTGAGGCCCAGATAAACCCCCCAGCGCGCGCGGTGAGCGAACTTGCCGATGGTGGCCGATGTGGGCCGGTACTGCACCATGCACCCCCAGACCCTTAGCATGGAGGGGTCTCCCCTTGAGCCGGTCCAATTCATGTGAGGGGACAGGTTGTCCCTGTTGGCGGTGGTGGAGAGGAGGTTGTGCAGGCGCACCGCGTGGTTCATGGCGTAGGGCCAGAACTTCTTCGGAAGGCCGGACTGGTTCATGAGTGCGCGCACTTTTGTCATGAGAGTGCGGTTAACCCTCTCTGCGACGCCTTGCTGCTGGTGAGCGTAGGGGAGTGAGATCTCATGCTTGATCCCCTTCTCTGTGAGGACACTCTCCAGTTCATTGCTGCGGGATTCCTTAGCCCCATCACTCTGCCAGATCTTCAGCTTCCTTCCTGACTGGCGCTGCGCGTGCGCGAGGAAGATGCGGAATACTTCCGGAGCCTTGGAGCGAGCGTCGACGTTGGCGATCCACACATGGCGCGAGTAGGCGTCAATGAAGGTGAGGGTATATTTCTCGCCGTTGATGCCGTCGAAGGTGAGCACAATGAAATCGCTGTATACTTTCTCCAACTTCTTGTAGCGGTTGGTGCTCGGCTCCAGGGAGGGGTAGGCACTGTGGGAGAGAGCAGCTGTGGGGCAGACAGTGCAGGTGACTGGGTGAGGGGTGTTGTGTGGTTCTGTTCCGTCGGGACGCAGCAGTGCTCCTGGCGGAAAAACTTTAGCGCGGAGGCAGTTGGCGAGGGTTTGGCGCGAGGGGTGTCCCAGCCGCTGGTGCCAGAGATCATCTTCGGCGCGGATGCCGGAAGTGCGCTTGTAGCGAGCGAGGTATTCTGCCGCTTCTGCTTCCGTGACTTGCGGGATCTGGAGTGGGGGTTCTTCCTCTTCTCCTGGTTCCGCTTCGTTGTCCGGCTCCTCTGCTTCTGCTTCCGCTTCCCCCGTTGTCTCCCCTTCTGCAGGTGCCGTTGTGAGGTAGAGGGCGAGGAATTCGCGGTCGGGGATGATAGTGAGCGGAGTCGTGGTACCTTCAATGAATCGAGCGAACGGATCTGGGCGGGAGATTGGACCAAGTGAGTCCCGCGGAGGAGTTGGCGGTACATTCCCCTCCTCAATCTCCGACCATCGATCACGCCACCGATAGGGGGAGGAGGGAGGTGAGAGGGTGCGCGGGGGTCGACCGAGTGGAATGGCGACACGAGGGGATGGTTCTCCACGCTCAGCTTTCATCTCGCGTTCTATCGCTTCTTCTTCTTCTTTGGTGAGCGGAGCGTCCGCGTATTCGTCTCCTCCCCATCCGCCGGTGTTGCCCCATCCTCCCGTGGTGACCGCGCCGCTGGCGCTGGCTCCGCATGCTCCAGTGGCGGATCCCCAGGTTGCGCCTTCTTCTGGTTCGTAATCTTCATCTCCCCGTGCGCCTCGTCGTGCTGACTCCTCGTCCCATCCAGCCGCGACACGTTCCTCAAACAGTTTTTGTTTCTTTTCCGCCCGGGCCTTGTCTTCTTCTTCCTTGACGCTGAGCTCCTCTGGTGCGTCAGGATCTTTCCAAGCCGGGTCAATTTCGCGGCGGTAAACTTCGCGGGTGTAAGGACGCGGTCGTCCATCTTCGTCGAGGGTGGTGGTGTTAGCTTCCAGGACGAACCGGAGGTTTTCCGAAGATGGCGCTGTCCGCTCCTCTCGCTGAAGTCTGAGGTCGTCGTTTGCTTCGCCGAAGATGCGGTAAGACGACACCGCGAGTTCTTCTGTAGTCATGCCTGTTGGTTCTGCCTCGGCGCTCTCCGCTTCCTGAATTGCCGCGTACTCCTTTTCGACTTGTTCTGTGCGGCTCGCCGTGGGTGTATGGCAGGTGGTGCAGAGTCCACTGATATCTGGCTCGTGCAGGTTGATTTCGCGGGGATGAGGACTGCGGCGAACCCATGGTCGTCCGTCCGGGTGCTCCCATGATTCCTTGCCCATGTAGGCGAACTCAAGGGGGACGAGGTCCACGAGCTCGTCGGATGAAGCTTGGCAGGAAGGTACGTCGAAGTCGAGGACGTAGATACCGTTGATCGAGCGGGCTCGTCCGAGATATTTGAACGACTCGGGAGGGGTATCGGTAGGGGCGTATGTGAGAATGAGATCGCGTGTGGCGAGGTCCGTGGTGAGGATGACGCCGCAGTCGCGAAGTTGTCCTGCCGAGAGAAGATTGAAACGAAGGTTTGGGACGTAGAGTACGTCGTTGAACGAAATGTGCGTGTTACTGTCTCGTGCTTGCAGGACCACGATGCCTTGTGCATTGGCGCGCAGTTGCTCGTTGTTGGCGACGGTGACGTAAGTTGGGGGGGCGCGGCTCAGGTTTGAGACGTATCGCGTAGATCCCACCATGTGCTGTCCGCAGCAGCTGTCCAGGTACTAGGTGTTGTGGTTGTCGTTGAGTCACCAGGGTCGCCTTGTAGCGTCTGTGGAAGAGAGGGTCTTCGTCCTCCTTCCATCCCACCGGTACGTAGTGTTGATTGTCATGTGGCGGGCTTTCCCGCAAGGTGATTGGCAGGTTCCAATCCTGCTCGTCTTCGTCATACCGGTAATAGTGATCTTCAGTGAGGGGATTATTCCAACCCTCTTCTGGCTCAAGGAGTCTCCCTTGAATGTCATTTTCCTCGTCAGGTTCAGCAGTGCGACGTCGGCGCGTCGTCATATTTGCGATGATATTCATAGGAGCTCCTGATTGAGATCCTTGAGTTTGCTGATGTTGATGTTGCGCAGGGGGACGAGGTGTCTGTTGCTGAGACTGAGGATGACGAGCATCCTGTCGGCCGACCCAGTTGTTGTGGTGAGTGGAATTTGGGTGGCGATAGTTGGATCGGGACTTGCATCGATCCGTTGAATGTCCGAAGACTTTGCAGATTTTGCAATAGTGGCGCCTTGGTTGTCGTCGCTCTTCACGGTTGTCAGCGTAGAAGGCGAGGCGCTCTCGGCGCGGCGCGGAGCTTGTTCTGCTCGAGTCCATGTCCTGTTGTTCGGACAGGAGTGCGGCGCATAGCGCAGCTTCTGAAATTATCCTTCGCTGTCGGAGTAACGCCTTGCAGGGCTTCCACTCTGGCCCGAGTCCTTGAAGGACTATGTTGACGAAGATCTCTTCCGAGATTGCGCTCCCATGCTTCGTGATCTGGTCACGGATGTTGCGACAGCGGTTAATATAAGTATTCGCTTTCTCCCCGTGCCCCATCTTTGTCTCCATGAGTTGCTGCAGAAGCCTGCTGGCTGTAACCGAATCCTTCGGCTGATATACCTCAATGAGGTGCTTCCAGGCTTCCAAGGCTGGAGCGGCGCTCTCTTTGTAGGAGCGGATGCTTAGTTGCTCTGCAGGCGTCATGTTGCGTAGCAGCACGCTATACGCCATGAGGGACTCGCTGTAGTACTGAGCCCTGGCGTCGTCGGTGTCGTCCACCGGTTTAGAGTAGGAGCCGTCGAAGTAATGGTAAATCTGCGCTGTCTGTAGGAGGAGCTCAAGCTCAAAACTCCATGTATAGAAATCTTTGCCGTCGAAGGCGGCGGTAGTCTTGATTTTTGAAATGCTGAGGAAGCGTGCTTGCGCAGAGTTAATGACTTCATCACTTGGACGGGGTGCAGTTGTTGTTGATTTGTCTGTGTCGAGGGAGAAGGTGTGCGCGGCGGTATCACGGCTTTTCGTTGCCGGTTGTCCAGGTTGAGCTGGATGGGAAGAGGTTCCCGCATTGCCTTTGCGCAAGTCTTGGAGTTCTTTCTCCATGGTTGAAAGTCGAGCGAATAACTGCTCGAGTGCGGCAGTGCCGATCGTAGTTGTCGCCTCATTTGTCGAAGCCGGGTTGGTTTGTCCTTCAGCCGTCAGATTGGCTTGGCCTCCGGATCCTCCGGCCATCTTGGTCTTGGAGCGTGTGCCGCTCGCCAGATCTTGGTTCGGCGAATTTCAAGGAAGTGATGATGCGAAGAATCCCTGAGTAGCTCTCATACCATGGTACAATCCCAAGTGGGATTTAGCGAAGGATCGCTCAGGGTTGATCGCAGAGTAGTGTTGCAGCGAAAGTTTGAATCTCAGGTCAGAGTGAATGTAAACGACTGAGTTGATAAAAGCATGCATACATCGGGTTTATATAAGAGTACAGGGGAATACGAAAAGACCTAGACTAGCCATGTACTCTAAGGGGTACATTCCCTTATTCTAACCAAATTCAAACCGTGCGGCGCGGGAACCCGTTTCAAACCTGTTCCCGCTCCTTTCACTTCAAATGTTTCTGCCTGCATCGGTCTTGGTCAGACGGTTGCTGCGTCGCTTCGACTCTTCTGACTCCTCGACTTCATACTCGGTAGAGTCGGCTCCTGCAGCATACAGGAATGCCTACTCATGCAATTTCATATCGTAACAAGTTGTATGATTGATGTACGATAAGAGATTCTTATATTAAGCATGTGCTAAAACTCGTTATTTTGTCTGATGTGGTTCGTAATTTTAAGCCTTTTTTTTCACAGTTCTTAACTGATTACTGCCCATTTTGTGAACAGCTGTGTACACATCAAGTTACACCCGACAAATGTCATGATATGAGCTACCCCAGTTCTATTATAAGTTGTATTTCACTGAGTGCCCATTTGCTCCATGCAGTCGACACCAAATTGATTTGATGCAAGATCAGTCACCCTCCCTGCTCCTGTGAACCTTCGATTTGCTCGACCCTTATGGTCCAGGAATCAGGAAAATCAGGGTTAGCTTTCCATTCCAGCTTCATTTCTAGTTTGCAGGATGAGCACCACAGCGAAGACACCAACTGACTTTCTGAAAGCCATTCGCGGTCGACCAGTCGTCGTGAAACTGAACTCTGGCGTCGATTATCGAGGTGGGCAAGCATATGACTGTCCTCCTGACACCATGCTGGGGTCTTGGGTATGCAAGTATCGTATCATAGCATGTATCGGCTGGTCACTTACTTGGCGACAACAATTGCGTTTCTTGCAACTCTGCCTCTCTTCGTCAAGGGTATAGGCGTTTGCGATCCCCTCCCTATACCGTTTTTTCCCATCCTCATCCCCTCCCGCTGTGATCGCTTGTTGGCACACCCAGCGTATTTCTTGTATGGATTCGTTCCCAACGGGTGTGTTTTGTTTAGATTCTTTCAAGAGTCTAACCACTTGTCCGTCGCATCCATCCACTCCTTTATCGCACTCACTCCTTGCAGGAATTCTTGCATGTTTGGATGGCTACATGAACATTGCCATGGAGCAGACGGAGGAGTATGTGAATGGACAGTTGAAGAACAAGTATGGCGACGCCTTCATCCGAGGAAATAACGGTGAGCCTGCCTGCTTTTCCTTTTCTGCCATGTTCACGTGTGAACGTAGACCAGGAGTCAATCTTCGCAAGTTTGGCCAACATAATTTTCAGCTGCCATGACTTGCAGCTGCTAGGTTTTTGTGGTCTTGCTCATCATATCTTGGCTTCCATTTCGTTTGTCTGTTTCCTTCATGCAGTTCTTTACATCAGTACAACAAAGGCTGTAACGGATGCTCAATGAATCTGCGTGACTTCGCTCCTTATCATTCTGGTGGCTGCAATGGCTTTTTTTTATATCGCCAACAGTTTCTATCAGTGTGACCAGAACTGTTTGGCGGAGGGGTTCTTCCAAATTCTTATCGTTTTTACTAGTTCGGGTGCGAGCCAGCTCATTTAACTCCCACCCTGCTTACCTAGGCAGCCGCAGGAACTGCCGTTTTGAGAACGCTTAAAGAAGGTGCACCTGTATTAGAAAACTGAACGTAACTGTATATGCTTTCATTTATGCAAATTCGGTTGTAAAATAACATAGTTATACACTTTTAGTTATAGAGATTTCTGCACTACAACTACGTCACAGTGTGCACTGATTCTGTGATTGCCGATTTAGCGAAGGGTGATTGTAACGAGCATGTGGGAATTTTTGTCCACTGTCCATCTGGTTTGGTCGCATGTTTTCCCCCCAGATCCTGGCTGCATCAACCAACCAGTGCTGTTGTTGATGTGTCTACCTTGCAGACTTCCAGAAAGACGTCAAGACAAGAGCACATCAAGCCTGTTCTGGTTTCCAAGGTCCCAGCACTCTCGCTCCGCTAATTTGACTTTTTTTCGGTCCGCCTTTCTAGATCTTGCCGCCATGAAGAGCAACAAGGCCGATGACGACTATGACTACCTTTTCAAGGTTGTCCTGGTCGGCGACTCTGGCGTCGGAAAGTCTAACCTGATTTCGCGGTTCACCAGAAATGAATTCAACATGGAGTCAAAGTCGACTATCGGTGTGGAGTTCGCCACAAGAAGCATTGAGGTGCTTTACTTGTACTGCTTCTGTTTGGCTATGAAAAAGTGCTATGCGCTCAATTCTTACCTCCTTAATTGACACCCATTATCAGGTTGACGGCAAGACCGTGAAGGCCCAGATCTGGGATATGGCTGGTCAAGAGCGTTACAGAGCCATTACGAGTGCGTATTATCGTGGTGCGGTTGGAGCTCTTTTGGTGTACGACATTACGAGGCAAGTGACTTTTGACAATGTGGAGCGTTGGCTGAAAGAGCTCCGCGATCATGGCGACCAGAGCATCATTATCACTTTGGTCGGGAACAAATGTGATCTGCGGCACTTGCGAAAGGTCTCTTTGGAGAAGGGCCAGGCCTTCGCAGGTACGTTTGAAAGCTGGTCTTCTTCGCTTTGCTGCTTATGACATCGTCTGACAGCTTTCTCATTCCCCTGCAGAGAAGGAGGGTTTCTTCTTCATTGAGACATCAGCCCTCGATGCCACCAACGTCGAGGACGCCTTCACGCAGATTTTGACCGAGATCTATTGGATGATGAACAAGAAGGCGTTGGCACCTGATGAAGATAACTACGCTGGTCCAGGGAAAGGCCAGACCATCAACATCAACGCTCCTCAGGAGGAGAAGCCTGTCCAGTCCTCATGTTGTTAGCTGTGTCCCTGTCCATCTCGGTGGCATTGTCAACCAGCCGATCCAGCCCTTCCGTAAGACCACTATCGCTTATATGGGTAGCACCTATCATTTGACCTGTACAATCGCTCCTAACGGTGGCCAACTTAGGCTTATGCTATATTGAATCGTAATAGTGTGGCTATGCGAAGGGTCTGGTGGTAAATCGTTGTGATGTCAGGAATGTGAAGCGCTTTTGTGTATATCTTGGTCTGTTGCGTTGATCATCATTTTATTTACAATTCCCACATTCCAGCAACTCAGTCGCTAACTTGATTAAAGGCATATCAATAAGCAACATCATCTCGCTTTTCCCATAATCCCTCTGTTTAATGATAAATTGTAGAGTGTAGTGAAAGGCTCGTGCGTCTGGCAAAATCAACTGCTGTATTTTATTGTGGGTTCCAATTTGTGAAAGGCCTATCACATAAGCAAAGGTACACCAAAGAAAATATACGCACAGACGTGTTAGATTGTCCCTTCGTGCAAGGAGCGACCCATAAACACACTGGTCCGCAGCCGAACAACAATTCCACTACTTTTCCCTCGATCATTACTTCACAGGGATGATCGCAGTCAGCGGTGCTCTTTCCACCTGTAAATCTGCTGTTCGCGTCTTCTTCCTGCCTCGCCGCTTTCTCTTCCGGGCTCCCGCCGCTGCCTGCTCGTGCATTTCCACCGTAGGAGGAGAAACAGGGTCTTCTGAGACAATGCTGTCCTTTACGTCTGCCGTAACCCGTTCCTGCACCCCTCCGTGGAGCGGGCTCGTTGTGTCTCCAAGACTCAATGCGATGGACGTCCGATCGTTAGCTTGGTCGCCTGTTGCACCTCTTGCATTGTCACCACAGTCGCGAAACCGCTCGTCGTCTGTGACCACGCCAGCTGTCCGCGTCGCAGCACCCATACCGGCGTCGCTGAACCGCGTCTGGGGTCAGCAGAAATCGCGGGTGCTATGCTCCGCGAGTTCTGCTGCTGCTGAGGGTGATGGTGCATCTGAGCCGTCCGTTGCGGTTGCCGTGGCACAAGCCGAGCCTGCTCAGGAGCAGAAGCAGTCACAGGCACAGCAGCAGCAGCAGCAGCAGCAGCAGAAACAGAAGCAAAAGAAGCAGAAGCAGCCACAGCAGCAGCAGCAGGGGAAAGGGAAAGGAGGAGGCAAGGGTCAGAAAGGCGACGGCGAGAATTTCTCATCGAAGGAGGCGGTCCGTGGACTGCGCGTAGCTAAGGTAGGGTGCTGTCGTGCTGCTGCTGCTGTTTTTGCCGGATTTACGTGAGCCAATCTGACACCGGCACGACGACGATGATCCAACTGGCACATTCAGAAGTTGTCAGGCTTAAACCCTGAAACCCGGTCAACTACAGCTGGTTTTCTGCGTGCCTTAAAGCCCTTCGCGGGACGCTAGGCGTACGATCACACTTCGTCCACTTTTTTAGCTCCTCCGCACTCCTCGACCTCCCTCTTTCCTTTCCCCCCTCCCCATTCCCTCCCCTCCCCCACCCCACACAACCCCACCACCACCACCGTTTCCTCTTCCCATCGCCTCCACATTCTCCCCACCCACACCCACAAACCCCCGTCATTATCCCACCCCATCCCACCCGCTTCTCCCATTCGGTCCCTTCCCTCCCCACAGACTGTTTCAAAGCCGTCCCAAAACTCATGCTGCTAGCAATTCCTCCGCACTCCGTTATACCTTCCCCATCTCCCCACCTACACTCCCCTTCACATCCCCCCCTCTATCTCCACCGCCCCCCTCGTAACACATAACATACCCCCTCAACTCCCCACCCCCCCACTCCCCCTCCCCTGCTCCCCCTTTCTCCCCCCCGCGCGCCCTCAGGTGGAGGCCCTGCGCGCGGAGGGGCGCAACCCCTTCGCGTACACCTTCCCGCGCACGCACAGGGCGGCGGAGCTACAGGAGCGCTTCAGGGGGCTGGGGAGCGGGGAGCAGGCGGAGGGCGGGGAGGTGGTGGCGGTGGCGGGGCGCGTGGTGGCGCGACGAGTGATGGGGAAGCTGGCGTTTCTCACGCTGAGAGACGAGGAGACGAGCATCCAGGTACGGGGGCGATTTTTGAGACGTCTCAAAAGGTGGCGGGGCGCGTGGTGGCGCGGAGGGTGATGGGGAAGCTGGCGTCTTGACGCTGAGAGACGAGGAGACGAGCATTCAGGTGTGCATTGCATTGTTTTATGAGTTGGCACAAGGTTAAATTGGAGTCAACTTCTGAGTTGACATTTAAGTCAACTCAGAAGTTGGTGCTCCTCATGTTGAGCGACAATTGGATGGCGATCCACATACGGGAAAGATTGGTTTGAGGCGCCTAGACTGTACCTCACTGTACCTCACAGTACCTCACAGTACCTCACAGTACCTCACTGTACCTCACTGTACCTCACTGTACTCTCTTCCATACCCCCCCGCGCACCCCTCCTGCTTGCAGCTGTACTGTGAGAAGGCAGTGATGGAGGAAGCGGAGGAGGGGTCGTTCGCGTTCCTCAAGAGCACTCTGGACGTGGGGGACATTGTGGGGGCTACAGGCACCATCAAGCGCACCGAGCGAGGTGAGTCCCAGGCTGAGAGAGAGAGATAGAGGTAGGTGTTGACTGGATGAAACGCCTATCTGTTAGTCCTCTCTCTTGACGTGGGGGACATTGTGGGGGCCACCGGCACCATCAAGGTATGGGCGTGCGGTGCAGTGTATGAGCGGGCGGTGCAGCGTATGAGCGGGCGGTGCAGCCTATGAGCGGGCGGTGCAGCCTATGAGCGTGCGGTGCAGCGTATGAGCGTGCGGTAGGCTGTTATGCTGTTAGGCTGTTAGGCTGTTAATGTGATAGGCTGTTACGCTGTTAGGCTGTTACGCTGTTAGGCTGTTAGGTTGTTACGCTGTTACGCTGTTAGGCTGTTAGGCTGTTACGCTGTTAAACTGTTACGCTGTTACGCTGTTACGCTGTTAGGCTGTTAGGCTGTTACGCTGTTAGGCTGTTACGCTGTTACTCTGTTACGCTGTTTGGCTGTTACGCTGTTACGCTGTTAGGCTGTTACGCTGTTAGGCTGTTACGCTGTTAGGCTTTTACGCTGTTAGGCTGTTACGCTGTTAGGCTGTTACGCTGTTAGGCTGTTACGCTGTTAGGCTGTTACGCTGTTACGCTGTTACGCTGTTACGCTGTTAGGCTGTTACGCTGTTAGGCTGTTACGCTGTTAGGCTGTCACGCTGTTAGGCTGTTACGCTGTTAGGCTGTTAGGCTGTTACGCTGTTAGGCTGTTACGCTGTTAGGCTGTTACGCTGTTAGGCTGTTACGCAGTTAGGCTGTTACGCTGTTAGGTTTTACGCTGTTAAGCTGTTACGTTGTTAGGCTGTTACGCTGTTACACTGTTAGGCTGTTACGCTGTTAGGCTGTTACGCTGTTAGGCTGTTACGCTGTTAGTCTGTTACGCTGTTAGGCTGTTACGCTGTTAGGCTGTTACGCTGTTAGGCTGTGACGCTGTTACGCTGTTAGGCTGTTACGCTGTTAGGCTGTTAGGCTGTTAGGCTGTTACGCTGTTAGGCTGTTACGCTGTTACGCTGTTAGGCTGTTACGCTGTTAGGCTGTTACGCTATTAGGCTGTTACGCTGTTAGGCTGTTACGCTGTTAGGCTGTTACGCTGTTACGCTGTTTGGCTGTTAGGTTGTTACGCTGTTAGGCTGTTATGCTGTTAGGCTGTTAGGCTGTTACGCTGTTAGGCTGTTACGCTGTTAGGTTGTTACGCTGTTACACTGAGCGGGCGGTGCAGCGTATGAGCGGGCGGTGCAGCCTATGAGCGGGCGGTGCAGCGTATGAGCGGGCGGTGCAGCGTATGAGCGGGCGATGCAGCGTATGAGCTGTCGGTGCAGCGTATGAGCGGGCGGTGCAGCGTATGAGCGGGCGGTGCAGCGTATGAGCGGGCGGTGCAGCGTATGAGCGGGCGGTGCAGCGTATGAGCGGGCGGTGCAGCGTATGAGCGGGCGATGCAGCGTATGAGCTGTCGGTGCAGCGTATGAGCGGGCGGTGCAGCGTATGAGCGGGCGGTGCAGCGTATGAGCGGGCGGTGCAGCGTATGAGCGGGCGGTGCAGCGTATGAGCGGGCGGTGCAGCGTATGAGCGGGCGGTGCAGCATATGGGCGTGCAGAGCAGTGTATGGGCGTGCAGTGCAGGGTATGTGCGTGCAGATAAGTGTATCTGTGTACGGTGCAGTGTATGTGTGTTCGGTGCAAGGTACGCACATACACTGCGACGGCGGTTTAAAATCGCTTCTGGCCGTTTGCTGGTATGGTTGCTTCTCCCGCCGGAACCCAACCCTTTCTCGCTCCCCCCCTTCCCTCCTTGCTGTTTGTCATGGTACTGTGCGGTGCAGGGGAGTTGAGCGTGGTGGTGCAGGGCGTGCAGCTGCTGACCAAGTCGCTGCTGCCTCTGCCTGACAAGTGGCACGGGCTGGCAGACGTGGAGATTCGCTACCGCCAGAGGTGCGTGCGTGGGGAGTGAGGTGCTGGGGGGTTCTCGGGGGAGGGGAGGGGACAGTGTCTTACGGGGTTTGACTGTTCAGGCCACCTAGCGGAACGGGCTGGCAGATGTGGAGATTCGGTACCGCCAGAGGTGCGTGCGTGAGGAGTGAGGTGCTGGGAAATGAGGCATTGAGGAGTTGGGTAGGAGGGTTGAGGGCCTTATGGGTTTGTTCGGCCGCCAAGTGGCAGATGTGTATTTGAGGAGCCTCAAAATACGTCTTATGGGTTTGTTCGGCCGCCAAGTGGCAGACGTGGAGATTCGCTGGGTGCGATGATTAGGGAAGTGGCGACGGGGGAGAAATTCTGGGGGGAGGGCGCTGGGGTCGACTCAAACGCTCCATTCCACCCTGTTTCCCCGCACCCCCCATCCGCCTTCCCGCTCCCCCTCCCTTCGTGCGGTGTGCAGGTATCTGGACATGATCGTCAACCCCTCTGCTGCTTAACCACCCAGTGACCCTACCCCGCCCCTCTCCCCCTCTTCCCCTCTCCCGCTGTGCTGTGTGGTATCTCCCGCGGTGCACAGGTATCTGGACATGATCGTCAACCCCTCGGTGGCGTCTGTCTTCAGAGCAAGGGCCAAGGTGGGATGCTTTCTGGGTCGACTGAACATACCTTCCAATGAAAACCTTGAGTCAGAGTTAGAAGTTAGAACCTTGATCGTCAACCCCTCTGTGGCATCCGTTTCCAGAGCGAGGGCCATGGTGGGATGCCTTTTGGGTCGACTCGAAAGGCGTTTCGATGGTTGTCAATGAGAACCCCACTGTCGATGAGTGTCGAGTCAACCCCTCTGCGGCATCTGTTGTCAGAGAGAGGCCCAAGGTGGGGTAGCCGCATGCTGCTCAGGAGAAGGGGTGAAGGGGTGAGGGGGGGAGGAAGGATTGCGGTGGCATGGGGGGGAGTGGGGAAGAGGGGAGAAGGGAGGGGAATAGGAGCCGGTTAAGGTGGGATAGGGAGTCTTGTTAAGGTGGGTGAATGGATGTGGCCTATAAGATGTGGGGGGAAAGGTGGCTGATAGGCAGGCAGGGCTCGCGCGCTCGCTCTTTCATTCCCCTTTGCCAACACGTCAGTGTCACCATTTCACACATGTATCCCCATCCCCTCATGGGAACCTCATGACGCTCGTTCTCTTGACCCGCCCCCTTCCCCTCCCACTTAACCCCCTCCCCCCCCTGTGCGTCTGACCTTGCACCTGCTACATGCACGCTGCGCTGCATGGGTGCAGGTGATCAAGGCCATTCGGCAGCACATGGAAGACAACTGCTTCGTTGAGATCGAGACGCCTGTGCTGCAGGTGCGTGCCTGCTGTCCCTGCTGCCCCTGCTGCTTTCCTGTGTGTATGTGTATCGGGAGAGAGGGAGACGGGGGAAACGAGGAGTGTGTTTGTGTGTGCATGCGTATCTTCGTGTGTGCGTGCATGCATGCGTGTACTAATCAGTACATGAATTACATTTGCACATGTATCCTCGACACACTCTCTCAACCTTTCCCTTTCCTCCCCTACCCTTATTTCTCCCTCCCTTCCTTCTCCTCCCGTCGCCTTCCCTCTCTCCCCTCCCCTCCCTTGCACCCAAGGCAGGGCGAGGCAGGAAGAGCGGAGGCGAGGCCATTCATAACGCATCACAACGCACTGCAACAGGACATGTTCCTGCGCATGGCCACAGAGCTGCACCTCAAGCACATGTTCCTCCCTCCCTTCCCTCTCCCCCCTCCCCTCCCCGCCACATGATTCCAAGGCAGGGCGAGGCAGGAGGAGCGGAGGCGAGGCCATTCATAACGCACCACAACGCACTGCAACAGGACATGTTCCTGCGCATTGCCACAGAGCTGCACCTCAAGCGCATGCTGGTGGGTTCAAGCTTGAATACTGCCGCTTCTTTGGTGCAATACGGTGCAATGCGGTGTGCTACGCTGTTGTGCTGCGCCAGGACATGTTCCTGTTCATTGCCACAGAGCTGCACCTCAAGCGCATGCTGGTGGGTTGCGTGCTTGCTCATGCCACTTTCTTCTGCTTCCGCCCTTCTCCCTCTCAATCTGCCTCGCCCCCTGCCTTGCTCTCTGCCTCGCTCTCCTCGCCCCCTGCCTCGCCCTCTGCCTCGCCCTCTGCCTCGCCCTCTGTCTGGGTACATGCAGGTGGGGGGCTTTGACAGGGTGTACGAGATAGGCCGCATATTCCGCAACGAGGGCATATCCACACGCCACAACCCCGAGTTCACCTCCATTGAGGTATGCTCGCTTTCTATGCTCGCTTCCATTTCTCTTCGGCGCACAGCAACACTCCCCTCTCCTTGCTCGCCCTCCTCTAACGGGATGCCCCGTATGCCCTGCTGTTCTGGTTGCTTGCCCTGCTGCTCCCTCGTTCCCTCACCTGCACCAGCCCATGAGCACCAGCCCATGAGCACCAGCCCATGAGCACCAGCCCATGAGCACCAGCCCATGAGCACCAGCCCATGAGCACCAGCCCATGAGCGCACCAGCCCATGAGCACCAGCCCATGAGCACCAGCCCATGAGCACCAGCCCATGAGCACCAGCCCATGAGCATCATCCCATGGGCACCCCTCACCCCCTCGTTCCTCACCTGCTCTTCCCTTGTCCTCACCAGCAGCTGTGGGCCACAGCTTTGTTCCCTTGTCCTCTCACTTTCACCCCCTCGCCCTCTCAATTGTTCCACCTCTCCTGCCTGCCCACACACAGCTTTACCAGAGCTACGGTGACATAATGCTCGCCCTGCTTTTTAATCAACCCAAAGCTCATCCCAATGCCCCTTGTAACCTGGCCCTTTGTCCCCTCCCTATCCCTCTGTCCTCTCGCTCCTTCACTTCCTCGTCCCCTTCCCCCCTTCTCCCCACTGCCCACCATCAGCTGTTCCAGAGCTATGCGGACTACAGCGGCATGATGGCTCTGTGCCAGGCCATGGTGGAGGGGGGAGTGCTCGCCCTGCTTGCTTTGAATCAACCCTGCTCTCGCCCCCTTTCCTCTTCTCCTTCGCCCCATCAACCCTTCATCCCCTCACCCCATCACTCCCTCTCTCTCTCTCCCTCCTTCACCCCGTTCCTCCCCCTCCCCCCTCCTCTCACAGCTGTACCAGAGCTACGCGGACTACAGCGACATGATGGCCCTCTGTGAAGCCATGATCGAAGGCGCAGTTCTCGCATTGCACGGCACCACCACGGTGCCCTACCAGGGCACGCCCATCCAGTGGGCGCGCCCCTGGCGCCAGGCTTCCATGGACTCACTCGTGCTGCAGGCCACTGGGGTGGACTTCCTCTCTGCTGAGCTTGCCCGCTCTATCGGCCACCCCTTCACCCCCTCACCACCTCGCCCCCCTCCTTTGCTCCCTGGTCCCCCGTCCAACCCTAACAGCTCTACCAGAGCTACGCGGACTACAGTGACATGATGGCACTGTGTGAAACCATGGTGGAGGGGGCAGTGACAGCCCTGCACGGCACCACCACGGTGCCCTACCAGGGCACGCCCATCCAGTGGGCGCGCCCCTGGCGCCGCGCTTCCATGGACTCACTCGTGCTGCAGGCCACTGGGGTGGACTTCCTGTCTTCTGAGCTCGCGGGGGATCTTGCTGCGGCTAAGGAGGCGGCTGTTCGCGCTGTCAGGGAGGCTGGGTCGAGTGCGGGGAGTGCAGGGGGTGTGAATGGGACCGATGCTGCTGGTGATGCTGCTGCTGATGGTGCCGCTGGTGTTGGTGCTGCTGACGGGGCTGCAAGCAGCAGCAGCGGCAGCAAGGTGAATCGCAAGGCGGTGGCAGCAGCAGTGCGCAAGATAGAGGAGGCGGGGAGTGTGGGGGCGGTGCTCAACTGTGTGTTTGAGGCAGTGGTGGAGAGCACGTTGGTGCAGCCCACGTTTGTTATGGATCACCCCGTCGAGGTCTCTCCCCTCGCCAAGCCCCACAGAAGGTGAGCCAAGCCCCACAGAAGGTAAGATCGAGGAGTGTGGGGGCGGTGCTCAACTGTGTGTTCGAGGCCGTGGTGGAGAGCACGTTGGTGCAGCCCACGTTTGTTATGGATCACCCCGTCGAGGTCTCCCCACTTGCAAAGCCCCACCGAAGGTAAGCGTGAGCCAGATTGGACGCGAGTACTCTAAGCGGAGAGCGTCCCCTGGAGGGCAGGAGTTATGGTATAGTATTCTACAGTGGTCCCATTTAAGTCCCTCAATCCCTCTCTGCCGGCCTGGCGTGACGCGCCGCACAAGCCTTTTTTTTACTTGCCTCAGAAGTGCCCCGATCCCTTCGTTCTCTTGACCCCCTTGTAACCCCCTCCTGTTGTTTCTGATTACATGTCAGCCTGCCTGGCTTAACAGAGAAATTTGACATTGACTCTTCCCAACCTCCTGGCATCCTCCGCTGCGCCCCCTCTTTCCCTGTCAGCCGGCCTGGGTTGACAGAGCGCTTTGAGCTCTTTGTGTACGGCCGAGAGCTCGCCAATGCCTTCTCCGAACTCACGGACCCTCTGGACCAGGTGAGATGCGTTGCGGTGACGTGCAGTTGTGTGAGGTGGAGAAGGGTTCAGGCATGTTGCAGGGTATGTTTATCTCTCGGGTTGTTACATTAAGCCGGGTTGTGATTGTCCAATAGGCTGCTTTTTTAGCCAAGCAGGAAGAAAACACGAGCCAAGGGAGACATGTGACCCCTCTGCCCTTGTGTATATTGAAGTCCCTGGAGTTTTTTCCCAGAGCACATTCTTCATTGTTTTCTGCTTTCTCTCTCCCCGACACAAACACGTGCAGAGGGCTCGCTTGGAGGACCAAGTGAAAAAACACGCAGACAAGATGGCGAGAGCCGAATCTGCTGCTGCTGGTGCTGGTGACAAGCAGGAGCAAGGGGCGAAGGGCAAGGGGGCAGAGGGGGAGGAGGAGGAGGATGAGGAGGCGTATGAGGTGCGGCTGGATGAAGACTTTCTCACAGCGCTGGAGTATGGCATGCCCCCCACAGCTGGCATGGTGAGTGCAGCTTCCTTTCACATGCAGTTTTCGCTCCGAGTGAAGTCTTGCAGACTTGTTAGAAGTGCATTTTCCTTTTCAAGTGAGGCTTGTTGGGCATGTTTCTTGCTGTGATTGGGTGTGCGTGGTCAAGACAATCGGCAAGTGTTGGCATCGTCTTGACTAGGCGAGTGGTGTAATGGGGCGTGGTTAGATTACCCCATAGCCGAGACATGCATTGTCTCATCGTATGGGTGTGGCTTGACCTCAAGAGGGAACCAGACAAGCTAGGAAGCAGCTCTCATGTCCACAATCGCGTTCTGTACCACACTCCTCTTACCGCAACTCCCTCTCTTTCTTGATCCTGAAAAATTAAATCGTTTCCTCTCCTGAATTTTCCTGCATGACTTTTTACCATGTGTTGCTTCCCTGCCATGATGCGTTCAGGGCATTGGAATTGATCGGCTGGTGATGTTTCTGACTGACAGCCCCAGCATTCGGGACGTGATAGCATTCCCGGTTCTCAGGGCACTCCCTTCTGAGCCCAATGCTGCGTCGTCTTCATGACAAGGTGCTGATGGTAATACTTCACATCACATCATAGCTGGCTTTCGTGACGTTCGGGTACTACGAAGACGGTAACCTTGTGGTGGTTTCAAGATAAACATATTGAACCACATTGGTTGGAATTTTAGTACAGTGGAATTATGAGAAGAAGCAGCATGTTTGGCTCCTTTGTTCCCGTTATCGTTGATTATCTCTATGGCAGCTGGTATCGAGGCTGCTTCTCAAATTTCAACTTGCACATCTATTGAATCCTGCGTGGCATCTGCCTGTTCTAAAAGTGTGTCTGCATTTCCACGTGACGGTTTGTAATTCGCTGTCAAGAGTTTCAGATCCTTACCAGCCTGAAATCATGGAACATGCGAGACTGGCCGCGATTCGGCGAATTGGACACGACCATGTTGTACATGAAAGGACTCTTCCGATTGGTGCTCATCTTTCTAGACTGACTTCGTTCGCGACGTCTATTGGCAAGAAGCTCAAACCCAGCCCATCAACGAAAGGCTTCCACTAGCGAGGGCCAATGTCGCACAGCTCGAAGCTTCGAAAAAGCGATGCCCATTCCGCAGGGACGAAAGAACTCGAAAGAGCGATTCGTGCTCGGCAAGGTTTAGCGAAGACAATGTCGTACTGTATATGCGACACATCAGCATCTCGCCAGTAACCCTATGCCCTTGCATGGTTGAATGAGCACGCATATTTTGGCTCCCGAACTCAGAGAGCACAAATCGCCCCACACTTTGCTGACTTCCCCTTCAAGACTTCAGAGCCCTCAAACCTTTTCCCAGTCCAAGAAAGTATACCTGTTGTTCTGTTGCACGCTCCAGAGCACGTTTTCTTGAACTACTACTGTTCGGCCCCAACATGGGCATCCCCTTTCAGCCATCCCAAGACCCGACCGTTCCCGTTCCTAGTACGGAGCTTCCCCGCGTCCGTGACACGGCCTTCATTACTTCGAGTCGAAGTCTGATGAACATTCACGACGAGCATTTCTCCCGCCCAATCTCACTCTCCGCGTCGAATCTCTCCACGCACGTGTCCGTGCGACTTCTGAGCGACGGCGGCGCGGAGCAGCTGTTCAAGATGCGTCGCTCGGCGCGCTTGGCGTTCCTGCTCGACCTCTACTGCCAGCGCCGCAGCGCGGAGCGCGCGTCGGTGCAGCTGTGGTTTAACGGGCAGCGCGTGGACGAATTCGCGACGCCGGATGATCTTTGCATGGGGGTCTCCGACTCGGTGCGAGTGGTGGAGTGCCACTGACCATCACACATGGGCCGGCGGACGCTGCCGCCGCCGCCGCCGCTGCCGCTGCTTCTGCTGCTGCTGTCGCGGATGTTTGTTTCGGCTAACCGCACTGCGCGCTGGCGCTGGGAGCCAGTGAGACGGATAAAGCGGCGCTTCAGCCATCACAGTGAAGCGCCTGTCACAACTGGAGCTTTCCGCACTGGCACAGATTCTGGGCGCGTTTTGAGAATTCTCACCCGTGCTTCTCCGCGGCAGCTCAACACGAGATGCGCGTCAGGAAAGACCCAGAATCGCGCGGAACACAAGCTTTAGCGGCGGTGCAGCTCGATCGTTGGAGGACCAAGCTCGGTTGGTCCAGTCCAAGCGCGGCTTTCTCTCTGGCTCCTGCAGCATTGACGTTCAGGAACTCGCAGCAAAGACAAGGACAGCATCTTCTGACGCCCCACTCTCCAGTGAACAAAGGGACGTCTCTACCAATCTGTAAAGAAATACGTCTAGTGTACCATCAGTACCCCTCTGCTGCATTTCGAGCTGTGCTGCTGTCCTGGGCTCTGAGGGGCAAACTCTTCTGCCCCTCACTACATATTATGGATGTATCCCCTCACTTCCATCTCACTTAGGCGATTTACACCAGGAATACCGGTTGTTACTTGAGGTTGAGGGGAAAATGGGAGGGTTGTATAAAAAGTGAGGATAACTCATGGTGAAAGATGCAGCAAGGAAGAAAGGCCCATGTATATTGCTTGTAATAGTAAGACAATATTTCTGTTATGAGGCAAGCACTTGTGTTCATCTGAGTGCACTAATCGTTATAATGATATCTACAGTTTTGTACCATGACCCCCCAAATGTTCGGATCGTGTAAATTCTCTGAATGTAGCAAGACTTTGAAGTCCTTGACCTCAGAATGTTAGGCTCATCGTTCACAAAGCAACTCAATCGCTTGACTTTTGATGCGACGCGAGCGAGCGATTATGCGACGGGGCCCTTCACGACTCACGGGGGGCACAAGCGATGAAGACGGCGAAACGACAAGGGAGCCTCTTTTCTTCATTTCGCCAGCCATCTTTCTGCCATCATGCGACAACGATATATCTTTCTGCCACGGAAATACTTTATTTCTTTTTGTTCGTTACGTGATTAGGCCGGATCTGAGATCGTAGATGCGAACTGTATGAAAGAACAGCCAAGGCGGCCCACCCCATGGATTGTCTGCAGCGCTCCCGCCGTTTCCCGCCGCCGCCGCCGCCGCTGCCTCATCAGCAGCAGCAGTTTCCGTGGCTCACGCTTCTCAGAGGCTTTAGTACAAACTCACACCGCTTCCCCAGGCGGCATCATCCGCGATCCACGCCGCTTGCCGCGCCGTTCCTCGCGGCGGTTGTCGTCATTGCGATCATCTCCGACGTACGATGGCCCGGAGGGGATCATCCGACGGCTGTGATGCGCGCACAGGCGGAGTCAATCTCAGGCATGTCCCTCGTGGACGGAGGCCTCGAGCACGCCATGTCGCTTCTACGGGTGAGTTTGCGCCCCAAAACTCGCCTCGTCCCCCATTTCCTCCCCTCCCCTCCCTCCTCTCCCCCCTCTCCCCCCTCTCCCCCCTCTCCCCCTTCTCCCTTCTTTCCCTTCGCCGCCCAACATCCGTGTGATCCTTTCTCGCGCATTCCCTCCCCTCCTCGACCTCCGTATCGCACGCTCTCGCTCCAAGCACCTCGCGCTCTCGCGCTCGTACACCTAATTCATTCCTATCTCGCCTCCCATATCCCATCTGCCCTCCTCCCCCTTCCGTCTCCCTCCCCCCCACACACTCCCCCTCCCTTCCCTTCCCGCCCTCCTGCCCCTCTCCCGTGGCCCATTTCTCCTCCCCTCTCCCATTTCCTTCCCCACCCCCCCACGTCCCCCCCGCGCCAGACCTGGGAAACCTTATATGGTCTATCCGCGGACTCCCCCCTTCCGCCCTCCGCCATAGCTCTTCCGCCCAGCATCCCCCCTCCCCCGCACCTGGAGCCCTGCTCCGAGCGCTCAGCCATCCGCCAGGCTGCTGAGCGCAGGGGGGAGGGCGGAGCTCTCCCCCCATGGGCGCAGGACAATGCTGCATGCGGAAATGTCCCCCAACCGCCCTGGGTGAGTGGATGCAGGGGAGGTTGAGGGTGTAAGAATGTTCAGAATCTGCCAAGAGTTAATGCCACAACGCCACCATGCCACCACACCATCCCCTGCCCCCGTCCCCCCTCCCCCCCCATCTCTCCCCTCCGGTCACCATTATCAGGTGCGTGGGTCAAAATCATTGAGACTTCTCAAAAATTCACTTTTTACACGTGGCTTCCCCCCCCCCTCCCATCTCTCCCCTCCGTTCACCATTATCAGGTGCGCGGGTCGGATTCATCGAACCTGGCCTCCACTCGTGTGGCTCAGAGAGACATCTGGGCACACCAGTTCCCCGCACCCTCCCCGCTGCCTGCTCACACTGCTGATACTGCCTCTGCTGCTGCTGCTGCTGCTGCTGCTGCTTGTGAGGGAAAGCGGTTTCTGCTGGTACAATGGCCGGAGAACACAGAGAGCACTAACAGCAGCAGCAGCAGCAGCAGCAACACCAGCAGCACCAGCAGCGGCAGCAGCAGCAGCAACACCAGCTGCACCAGCAGCAGCAGCAGCATCAGCAGCGACGGCGGCAGTGGCCGGGGATGGTCGTATGAGGCCCTGGCGGGTCAGCTGCAGGGCATGAGTGTGGCGCTACGTGTGGCCTTCACCAGTGGCCGTGTGCTCGTGCCCATGCCAGGCACCTTCCTCCCAGCCCACCACCCGCATTGCCAAGGTGAGGTGACATCTGAGTCGACTCAATAGGTGCTACGTGTGGCCATCACCAGCGGCCGTGTGCTCGTGCTTGTGCCAGGAACCTTCCAGCCAGCCCACCACCCGCACTGCCAAGGTGCCTCTCCCCGCACACTCCCCTTCCCTCCCGTCCTTTGCTTCTCTTTGGCAAGGGTTCTTCAGGTCTGTCTGGCCTTGTATATGTGTGGTCTGTGTCGCCCCCATCCCGCACTGCATCGACCATGCAGTGCTGCAAATCCCGCTTCCCCTTCCCTGCCTTGCAAAGCAGCAGCAGCGCTACTCCGTATGCTTCGATACACAGCTGCCCGTTTCCCTCCTCCTGTGTCTCCGTATCTCACTCCTCTCTCTCCTCCCTCTGCCCAGCACCACATGCATCCGTGTCACTCACTAACGTTCGAGCCAAGAGGCCTTTCATGTCTGGAAAGTTCTCCTTGCCCCCTCCCCCTCTCTCTCCCTGTCTCTCTCTCACCAGCGCTGAATGCATCCGGGTCACTCCACTGCTACTTCTTCCGCCCAGTCGTGTTTTGAGTCGACTCAAAACTCTCCCTCTCTCCTCCTCTCTCGCTGCATCCCTCTCTCACCAGCGCTGAATGCATCCGGGTCGCTCCACTGCTACTTCTTCCGCCCAGTCGTGTTTTGAGTCGACTCAAAACTCTCCCTCTCTCCTCCTCTCTCGCTGCATCCCTCTCTCACCAGCGCTGAATGCATCCGGGTCACTCCACTGCTACTTCTTCCGCCCAGTCGTGTTTTGAGTCGACTCAAAACTCTCCCTCTCTCCTCCTCTCTCGCTGCATCCCTCTCTCACCAGCGCTGAATGCATCCGGGTCGCTCCACTGCTACTTCTTCCGCCCAGTCTCCCAAGCATGCGAGGCAGCAGCCATGCAGCATTACACCACTAGCGCCGCCGGCGCCCCTCCCTGCAAGCCCCTCTCGCACCTCACAGCGCAGCAGCTGGCGTCTAACGAGACTCTCATCTGTGCTGCTGCAAGCAGTGATGCCTCGTACCCTGATTCAACAAATGCTACCAGGTTCGTCCAGTGATGCCTCGTACCCTGATTCAACAAATGCTACCAGGTTCGTCCAGTGATGCCTCGTACACTGCTGGCGCCCCTCCCTGCAAGCCTCTCTCACAGCTCACAGCGCAGCAGCTGGGGTCAAACGAGACTCTCATCTGTGCTGCTGCAAGCAGGGATGCCTCGTACCCTGCCTCAGCAAATGCCTCCAGGTTCGTCCAGTGATGCCTCGTACCCTGCCTCAGCACATGCTTCCAGGTTCTCTGCTCCACCAAATGCTTTCATTCGTGCAGCAGCCATTTTGTTTGTTTGCTTGTTCGTACCCTGTTTCACTAAATTCCTCCAGGTGCTTTGAGTGTTCTTCTTGATTCTTCATTTGTTTCTTCGGTTCTGCTTGATTCGTCTAGCTTTAGTACTGCAGCCATTTTGGCAGTAGGCCTGCAGTGTTGCAATTCAGCTGTAGTTCCTTTCCTCCCTCTCTCTTCCATCTCCTCCCACTGTTGCCCACGCTCCCGCTTCCTCTCCCTGCCGCTGCTTCCTCCCGACTTACCCCTGCCGTGCGTCCCTCCCCCTGCCGCCCGTCCCTCCTTCCCTCGCGCATGGGCAGTGAGGGAGCATGGAGCGAAGCGTTCATGCGGCGGCCTTTCCTGGTGGAGCGTCAAGGGGCACTTGTCAACATCTCACACACACAACTGCAGGTTCTGTCCCCCCCCTTGCCGTTCCCTGCCCATGCCTGTGCCCATGCTCGTGCCCATGCTCATGCTCATGCTCATGCTCGTGCCAACACTCAGGCTCTGCACTTTCTCCCCCCACACCCCATAACCTCCCTCACTCCCTCCCCTCACTCCCCCCTCACTCCCCCCTCACTCCCCTCTCACCCCCTCCTCATTCCCTCAGGCACACTGGTGGCACTCCCAAGCTCTGCGCTTCTTCCTGTGCTGGCCCTCCCCCTCCTTCTGCCGCACCCTCAACCACCACCGCAGCTCTGCTCCTTCCTCTCCCCCCCTTCCCTCGCCGCCGCTCTCCCTCAGGCGCACTGGTGGACAGACAGCCCAAGCTCTCCGCTTCCTCCTCCGCTGGCCCCCCTCCTCCCTAGGCCACACACTTAACCGCCACCGCAGGTCCGCCCTCAGCCCGCACATCGCCTCCCTCACCTCCCCTCCCCTCCCTCTGCAACCCCGCCCAAGCCCATGTCTCATGAGCACCCCCCCTCCCCCCCCCCACCTGGCACGTCCCTTTAGCCCACTGGTGGCACCCAAGCTCTGTGTTTCCTCCTCCATTCCCCCCTCCGTCTCCCTGCTCTCCCCACCCTCGTCCCCTTCAGGCGCACTGGTGGACAGCCCAAGCCATTCGCTTCCTGCTGCGCTGGCCGTCCCCCTCCCTCTGCCACACCCTCAACCGCCACCGCAGCTCTGCCCTCGGCCCGCACATCGCCTCCCTCTCCTCCGCCTTTCTCTCCGAGCAGCGCGCCATCGTGACCTCCCTCTTAAAGCCCCAGTCCGAGGCGGACCAGGGCCTGGGCCTGGACCTTCGCAGCGAGGGTAAGATGCTCAAGAGGTTGAACCTTTCCGCGCACCGGAATCTGGAAACGGACGCGTGGCCGAGCCTGGGGTTTTCCGGGTGTTTACCCCGGAGAAATCGGGGTAAAGTGGTTGAGAAGTCGTCGCCACTGACGGTGTATCAGGGCGTGGGGAGAGAGGCGTACCTGCTGCGACCAATCGTGAGCATACACGTGGCAGAGAAAGGGCAGCAGGGGGGACAGGGGGGGCAAGCGCAGCAGGGGGAGCAGGGACAGGAGCAACAGCAAGGGCAGGAGAGACAGGAGGGGCAGGAGGGGCAGGAGGGCAAGGCAGAGGGTAATAGTACAAAAGCAGAGAGTGGCCACAGTAGCAGCAGCAGCGGCAGTAGCGGCAGCAGCAGCAGTGCATCACAACTGTCAGTGCCACTTGTATCCGCTCTGCTGCTCTCCTACCAGCTGAGAAGGCGGGACCCAGGCCTCAAATACGTCTGGCTGTCCACCGACCAAACAGCAGCCACAAAACTGTCACCAAGCCACCTCTCGCGCTTCGCCGATTGGACCTTCCTCTATCCCAAGCCACCCTCCTCCGACCCCTCCTCCTCTCCTCCGGCATACTATGATTCCGTGGGTGCGGCTTTTGCCGACCTGCTTGTTGCGTCGGAGAGTGATTTTTTCGTTGGGGATGTTGGTAGCAGGTGGAGTGGGCTGATTTATCAGCTCAAGTGCACTAATGGTCGCCTTTACGCAGGCTTTTTGTCTGTCTAATGGCTACGTTCCAGGAGCTTCGTACGTATACTTATAAGCTGTCATCGCTAAAAGCATCTGCTCTGCAGGGTGACGTTCAACGCCCCAAACGTGCGCCGTAAAGGCAATTAGGGTTTATATCAAACAGCCTCACTCAACTCGTGGCACCGTACAAGCCAGTGGCTGCGTGTGTGTGTGTGTGTGTGTGTGGTCTGTTCTTGTGCGGCTGTGGACTGTACGTTCTGTTTGATGAGAGGCAGCCATCTTGAGTAGTGGTCGGAATGGAACGAGTCAGTGGGTGGAGGCTGTGTAACTGGAACAGCCAGCAAGGGAAATGCACATACTGGTTGGTTCTTCAAGTACGCATGTTCAAGTGGCTGTTGCGATGTGTCCGTGGCATGCTTCCTACCAATCCAACCAGCATAGAGTTTGTGGCAGGTTGTGTTCTGAACCTACGGTAACATCTGTGAGCTGACTACCGTAGGTATATGGAAGTGATAATTCAATACCATACCGGTATATATTGCTCTTTCTCTGCCGTGTATTCAACTTAGTTCAGAGGTCTGTCTACAAAGAACGCTATAACTTAATTTGAGCAGCTTTAGAAATAAATTGTGCACATAGCCATAAAAAGGTTCCCATCCCATCTCGTGTAAACAATCAAATGTTTTACAGGAAGTCACATGTTTTCATCATAGGGGGGAGAGTGACCAGCTAAGGAGATGGGATGGGACAGGTTGGAAAGGAGCCCCGGATGGCGGGGGGGGAGAGCAGGAAGAACAGAAGGGAGGGTGGTGGAAGCATGGAGGGAGGGTGTGAGGTGGGGATTCCATGTATGGTGGTGCGTATACCTAACTGTACAAGGACGACGAGGGGATATTTCATGGAGAAATGGCCAGTCCCTCGTACACAGCAGAGCAAGGTATTGTGGCTGGTCCCACATTCATAGCACGGTGTGGTATGGCATGGCACTGTACGGTATGGTACAAGGCATGGATGGGTCAGTGCAGGTGGCATGGATGGTCACTGCAGGTGGCACGATGAGAGGGGATGGGCGCGCAGCAGAGCAAGCTCCTGAGTGAGACGCTGCCAGGCACAAGAAACGAGGCATGGGGGGAAGAGATAAAGCGGAGATTAGATACAGGTGGAGACATGATGATCATGATGATCATGATGATCATCAAGCCTAGATAAGTCGAGTTTTGAGTCGACTCAAAACTCCCGACTTATCACACAAGATTAGATACAGGTGGAGGAATGATGATCTATCAAGCCTAGATAGCTAGATGCTATCTGTCCCCCCTGCGCACGCCCTCTCCACACCCTACTGCCCCCACCATCCCTCCCTTGCTCACCTGTCCCACATCGGTCGTTCCCAGGAACGACACCTTCTCCTCCTCACTCCCGTTCCTTACCCCCCCTCAGTCTGCTCCCTCCCGCCCGCCCTTTCCCCACACCCACCCCCTCCCTCGCCGCGCCCCACCCACTGCTCACCTGGCCCGGGTCGGTCATTCGCAGGAACGACACCTTCTCCTCCGGGCCGATGGGAAGGCCACTTGCACCCTCCCTCCCCACTCTCATCCCCCACACACAGCCCCCCTCGTTCCGACCTGCTCCCGCCCTCCCCGCGCCCCACCCACCGCTCACCTGGCCCGGGTCGGTCATTCGCAGGAACGACACCTTCTCCTCCGGGCCGATGGGAAGCAGGTTTGCTAGCTGCGGTGAGGAGGGTGAGGGGAAGGTGGGGGGTAGAGGGGAGGTGTGATTGGATGATCAGGCAACCATAATTTCAGAGTACAGAGGCAACGGTGGTTGGTTGCTACTGCGTGGTTGCTACTGCGTGGTTGCTACTGCATGATGTGTTTGTGTGTGTCTGAGTGTGTATGTGTGTGTGTGAGTGTGTAAGTATGTGTGTAAGTGTGAGTGTAAGTGTGCATGTGCTTGTGTGTGTCTAAGGGTGTGCGTGTGCAAGTGTGTGTGTGTGTGTGAGTATGAGTGTGTGTGTGTGTGTGTAAGCGCATGTGTGCATGTGCGTGTGTGTAGGCGCGCGCGCGGACCAAGGCGCGCGCGTGGACCAAGGCGCGCGCGTAGACCAAGGCGCGCGCGTGGACCAAGGCGCGCGTGTTGACCAAGGCGCGCGCGTGGACCAAGGCGCGCGCGTAGACCAAGGCGCGCGCGTTGACCAAGGCGCGCGCGCGGACCAAGTCGCGCGCGTGGACCAAGGCGCGCGCGTTGACCAAGTCGCGCGCGTGGACCAAGTCGGTGTGCACACGCGTGCATGTGCGTGTGGCAGCACAAGCAAACAATCCACGCTGTGCTTTAAGCACAAAGCACTACTAACAAACACAGGTGTTGATTCCTAAGTTGATGCCACGTATCGAACTCAATGGTGCGTAATTGGTGTCTTCTTCCATAACAAACAATTTATGCTCTTCTCTGGATAAAGCACAAAGCCGGAGGTGACTTTTGAGTCCACTCAAAACTCACCTCAACAATCCATGGTTTGTGAAAAGCACAAAGCATGGCACAGAGCTTAGCGCAGCATGTGCTGTGCGTGCCAGGCGTGTGCTGCGCGTGTGCCTTGTGCATGCCATCTGCATGCATTTGTGTGCTGCGTGTCTGCAAGCGCGAGTTACCCAGAAGCTGAGGCGTTCGGGTTGGCTGGCAGGAGGGATGTCTCCGGCACTCCTCACATGCTCAATCAACCTGCTGCGACGATCTGATGCAACCATGCACGCATGCACACATGCACACATGCACACATGCACACATGCACACATGCACACATCCCAGCATGCACACATGCGAACACACCCACACGTCCACATGCAATCACCCCACAGGCCAATACATCACATCACACGCAGAAGACAGAGGACCGCTGAGGGCAAAGAAAGCACATAAACAGCTGGGATGGGCTTTCGGGCAAAGGGAATATACTGGGCATTTAGTTGTTCTGATGACGCAGAGAAAGAGAAAAGGAAATAGTCCTTACTCTGCGTCATTCAGTTCTCAATTGAATGCTTCAGGGGCAGCATGCGAAAAGCATAATACAGGGAAGGGGAAGGGAAAGGGGAAGGGAAAGTGGAAGGGCAAGGGGAAGGGGAAGGGCAAGGGAAAGGGCAAGGGCAAGGGCAAGGGGAAGAGCAAGGTGATGGGCAAAGTGAAAGGGCAAGGGGATGGGCAAGGTGAAGGGCATTACTTGCACGAGCAGTGGAGAGAACTCGAGCCACCCACTCTCTTGCCACCCCTGCCACCTCCTCTGCTAGCGATGATAGCTGCAGGAGTGGGCGGGCAGGAGTATGTGCGAGAACGAGAGGGTCAGAGGTAGAAGAAAAGATCAGGAGTGTTTGAGGCGAATAGTAAGTAGTACGGTACCTCTGTTGATGCACAGAGGAATGAATTTTTTGAGGTGCATTGGCTTGGCGAATCACCTTGTTTGCTGCGTCTGAGCCTGGCTCTGGAATGGCGTATTGAAAATGGACACACACATGCATGCATGCCGATGCAGCCTGTGAAGTAACGCACATTGTTGGGTTGCTACCTTGTTGGCTGCTTCTGAGCCTGGCTCTGGAATGACGTCTTGCACCCACTCCACTTGAGCCACTCGATACCTGCGGTGGGGACACACAGGCAGGCAGGCACATACAGAGACGTGCATGCATGCACACACGCGCTTGAACAGATGCTCGCATCGCAAACGTGAACACACATGCGCGCATGCACACACACGCATGCACACACACGCATGCACACACACGCATGCACATGGGAAGAATGCACGCATGCGCGATGTGCCTAATGGTCTTGCTCACCCGTCTTGCTCCCAGCTGCTGGTGATGCTGAAGCGACGCACTCCCTCCACCTGTGCCCATGAGAAAAGGGGGAAAGAGAGGGGGGGGGGTGTGAAGATTGTGAATTGAACAAGTAATTGGATTAGAGGAACAACCTAGCATACATAGTTGGAAGGGAAGGTTGGAAGGGAAGGATGAAAGTGACCATAGGTTGGGTTGACCTCACTTGGGGAAGTGAGGGAACCATAGGTCAAGTGGGTTGGGTTGCCCACACTTTGTAGAAGTGAGGCAACCCTAGGCCCACTTGGCTTGGGGTAACCTCAATTGTGGGAAGTGAGGTACCCACAAGTCAAGAGGGTTGCATTTGGGGGCTCCACCACAATTGGGTGGATTGGCACCCCAAAGTGCAAGACTACACCCAAAGTTGGGTGTAGTCCCAACCCAACTGTACACCACAATTGGTGTACAGTCACATGTGTTGGCATGCTACACAATATATATTTTAACACAACCCCTTAGCATGCTAACACAAGAAGAGAACAACCCCTGAATCAAGGGGCGCCCGGGCGAGCAAGGCCAATGAGGCGGAGGAAGGCAGAGTGCGCGGGGCGAAGGAGGGCCTTAGTGAAGATGTCGGCCAAGTTGGCCTCGGTTGCAATCTTGCGAACGGCAATGAGGCCCTTCTGGACGAGCTCGCGAACGAAGAAGTAGCGGAGTTCGATGTGCTTGGAGCGGGCGTGATAGACGGGGTCCTGAGTGAGATGGATGGTGCTGGCGTTGTCGCACCAGAGAGTGGGGCACGTCTGGGGGGCGCCAAGCTCCGCAAGAAGGAAGCAGAGCCAGCGCGACTCCTGGGCGGCCATGGTGCCAGCGTAGAGCTCGGCTTCGCAGGTGGAGAGAGAGATGGCGGAGGAGCGGGTGGAGCGCCAGCTGATGAGGCCGCTGCCAAGGGTGAAGTCGTAGCCCTGGGAGGAGCGGCGGTCCGGCTGCGTGTCAGCCCATGAGGAGTCACTGAAGCCCGAGAGAAGGGGACGGGAAGGGCCGCCGAGGGTGAGGGCAAGGTCCCTGGTCCCGCGAAGGTAGCGGAGGACCCGCTTGGCAGCTTTCCAGTGCTCCTCAGAGTGACGACCGGTGCCGACAAAGCGAGCGAGCACGCTGATGGGGTAGGCGAGGTCGGGGCGGGTGCACATCATTGCGTACATCAAGGACCCAACGAGCTCGGCATAGGGGTGGGGGGAGGAGGTGGGGGAGGTGGGTGGAGCGAGTTGGTGACCGAAGGGGAGCGGGGTGGAAACAGGCTTGGCTTGCGCCATGTCGAACTTCTCCAAGACCTGGCCGATGTAATGGGACTGGGAGAGGGTGATTGTGCGAGCAGGGCGGTTGCGCGTGATGGTCATGCCGAGGTAGTGAGTGAGGGCGCCAAGGTCTTTGCACTTGAGCCGCTGCTGCAGGGACAGCTTCACCTGCCCCATGTCGGCCTTGGTGTCAGAGAGCAGGATCATGTCGTCGACATATACCAGAATGAAGAAGCGGCGGGGGGAGGAGCGGATGAAGAGGCTGGCGTCGGAGTGGGAAGCAGAGAAGCCGAGGGACCCCAAGGTGGCAGCCAGCTTCGCATGCCACTCACGCGGTGCCTGCTTCAAGCCGTAGACGGGGCGACGCAGCTGCCAGACAGTGTTCTCAGGAAAGGCTGCGTGGAACCCGGGGGGTCGCCGGAGGAAAATGCGCTCATGCAGGTCGCCCTGCAGGAACGCATTGGAGACATCCATGGAGTCGATTTCCATGTCGTCACGTGCACCAATGTCCATGGCGGCGCGAAGGGTGGGTGGTTTGGCGGTGGGGGCGTAGGTGAACCAGTAGTCCTCAGCCCAAGTCTGCGTGAACCCCTTGGCGCAGTAGCGGGCCTTGTACACTGGTTCCTCGCCCGGCAGCTGCTTCACCCGAAAGACCCATTTGCCGTCAACGAGATTAGCGCCAGCAGGGAGGGGGACATCGACAAAGGAGTCGTTGCAAATGAAAGCCTCACACTCCAGGAAGATCGCTGCTATCCATTTATCCGCATCAGGGCAGGTGATGGCTTCCTGGAAGGTGGAGGGAGTGAAGATGGTGGGGGTAGTAGTGGCGCCAAGGACAGGAAAGCCCAGGAAGTCAAGCTAGAGGGCGGCAAGGAATGGAGTGTGCTCCCGAATGTTAAGAAACTCCTCATGGGAGTCCTCAAGGAGCTGAATGGAGGCAGGAGGAGGAGCCCCAAGGATTTTGTCCACAGAGCGGGTATGGATGTAAGGGAGGAGGAAGGGGGAGGAATGGGAAGTGGCACGACGCCGCTGCTGCTGCTGGTGCTGCGGAAGCTGCTGCCCGTGTTGCTGCGGCTGCGGCTGACCGTGCTGGTGCTGCGGCTGCTGAGGCTGCTGAGGCTGCTGCTGCTGCTGCTGCCGCTGCTGCTGCTGCAGCTGCTGCTGCTGCTGTCCCGGCTGCCGCTGCTGCTGCTGCTGCTGGCCCGGCTGCTGCTGCTGCTGCTGGCCCGGCTGCTGCTGCTGCTGCTGCCCCGGCTGCTGTCCCGGCTGCTGCTGCTGCTGCTGTTGCTGCTGCGGCTGCTGCTGCTGCTGCTGCTGCTGATCCGGCTGCTGGGAGGAGGGAGAGGGAGAGGAGGAGGGAGGGGGGGGGAGGGGGTGCGGCCGAGTGAGCGGGGGAAGCGGGTGCGGCAGGGTCGTAGACATCGGCGGAGGAGGAGGACGGGAGCGGAGCTGCGACGGGTGGGAGGAGAGGGGCTGGAGGGAGAAGGGGCGGGAGGACGGTGTCGGTCCAAGCAAGGGGACGAGTGGGAGGAGGGAGAGGATCAGGGGGAGGAGTGGAGTAATAGGGGACGGATTCGTCGAAGACGACGTCGCCGCTGCGGATGAGGCGATTGGTGGGAGGGTGGAGGAAGAGGTAGCCTGGGGAGTCGCGATTGTGCCCAAGGTAAACGCATTCCAGGGCGCGAGGAGCAAGCTTGCCAGCGGCGCGGGAGCGGTCGGCGGGTGGGATGAGAACGAAGGCCTTGCAGCCCCAAACGCGAAGGCCGGCAGCGTCGGGTTTGGCGTTGGACCAAAGCTCTGTAGGGGAGGAGGAAGGATGCTGAGGGTGGGAGCGGAGATTAAGGAGAAGAGCGGCGTGGAGGAGGGCATAGCTCCAGAGGGAAGGAGGGGTGGAGGCATGAGCAATGAGACAGCGAGCTATCTTGGTGATCTCACGAATGCGGCTCTCAGCAATGCCGTTCTGCTGAGGGGAGTGGGGAAGGGTGGAGGTCTGTTGGATGCCGTAGGTGTTGCAGTATGTGGCAAGGGTGTTATTGATGAACTCACCCCCACCGTCAGAGTGAAGGCGGCCGATGGGGCGTTTGAAGTGATTGCGGCACTGTTCGGCCCAGTTGATGACCACTGCCGGCACCTGGTCTTTCGTGTGAAGGAAGAAGGTGGTGGAGTACCGGCTGTGGTCGTCAACGAGGACGAGCATGTACCGATGCCCCTGGCGGGAGCGGATGGGATAGGGGCCCCAGAGGTCCATGTGCACAAGGTCAATGGGGGCGGCGGCGAAGGTGGGATGACTGTGGTGGGGGGACTGTTTGAGCTTGCCGTGAATGCATGAAGGGCATGGGGGAGAGGGGGAGGAGGGGAGGGGAGGTAAAACAGGAGGAAGGCTGCGGAGGAGGCGAGAGGTGACTGTGGTGCGAAGGGCGGTGAAGTTGGGATGGCCGAGTCTGTGGTGTAAGAGGACAGCAGGGTGGGAGAGGGTAGTGGAGGAGGAGGGAGATGGGGTGATGGAAGGAACGAGAGGGGAGGAGGAGGATGGTGGGGAGGGAGAAGAGGAGACTTGAGGGGGAGGGGAAGGGGGAAGTAAAGGAGGAGGAGGTGGACCGGTGGAAGCACCGGAACGAGTGGTGACGTGGCAGAAGGATGGGCGAGGCGTGCGGAGTGTGTAGAGGTGAGTGCGGGGGCAAAGCGGAATGCGGAGAAGGAAGCGACCGGAGGAGGTTTGGTAGAGATCACAGTAATTGGCATAACCGGGGTAAATGGCAGTGATACCAACACCTTGGAGCTCACGGTGGGAGAGGAGGTTGTTGCGGAGAGTGGGGATGTGGAGACCTGTGACCTTACCGGAGGGGAAGGCAGTGCAAGGGAGGGTGGAGAGGTGAGTGCATGGAATGGAAAAGCTGGAATCAGCCCCATGAACCTGAGTGGGAAGTGGTAGTGGGGTGAGAGTGCCAGCGTCTTTCAGTGCGGTTTCAGTGGCTCCACTGTCAAGGACAAAGTCCAGGGTGGGAGAAGAGGGAGGAGGGGGTGGGACGGGGTACTGAAACGAAGTCTCATTGATAGCAGAGGGATACATGGCAGCGACGGACGGTGCAACACTGATATTACCAAGGAAACTACCAGAAGTGTCGGGAACACTGGGGGGAGCAGAGGGGAGGGAACCCCAGGGGGGAGGAGGAGGAAGGGAGGTATGAGCGGCCATGGCCGCTGTGCCGAAGGTGAGTGGCTGCTGCTGCCAGGGTGGGGGAAGGAACTGCTGCTGCTGCTGCGGCGGTGGCTGGAAGAACTGCGGCGGCGGCGGCTGCTGGGGCTGGAGAAACTGCGGCTGCTGCTGCTGCTGGTGGAAGTACAGGTGCTGCTGCTGCTGGTGCTGCTGAAACTGCTGCAGCTGTGAGGGTGGGGAGGGGGTAACCATGCGGAGGTGAGCAGGAAGGAAAGAGGGGAGGGTTTGAATGTCCACTAAGGAGGGGCGAGGTGTGACCGAGTTCCAGCGAGGAGGGGTGCCAGTGTTGCCGCGATCAAACCAGGCGTCGTCGAGTGCCTTAAAGCACGTGGTGGGGGGATGGTTGGTCTGGCCGCAAGGGGTACCTGCATGGGGACCATGGCGACGCACATATGTGCATGGGGGGAGAGTGCCAGGGCGTCCGCCTCGAGTCACAGCACCTCCAGCAGGGGCGCTGCCAGCACCACCACCACCGCCACCACGGCCACCACGGCCACCACTACCACCACCGCCACCACCACGGCCTCCACCACCACCACCGCCACCCGCTCCACGGCCTCCGCCGCCGCCGCTGCGACCACCCTGGTTGCGCGGCTGCGTAGCGTTGAGGGAAGTGGAGGAGGAGGACTGAGGGGTGGTAAGGTTGACAACGGGGGTGCGGAGCTTGACCTCCGTGTCAATGATCCACTGGACCACGTCGTCGAGGCCGGCCATGGGGTTGGCCTCAGTGAAGGCATGGAGGCGGGACTCGTAGTCCGGGGTGAGGTTGTAGAGGAGGCGGTGGATTTGCAGGGGCTCGGGGAGGGCAGCTTGGCGTGCCGCAAGGCGATCAGCGACCTCCTGCATGCGCCCCACGTAGTCAACTGCGCCATCACAAGTGGCGAGGGTGATGGAGAAGTACTCCTGGAACAGGGCGCCGACAGAGCTGATGTCGCGACGCTCGAACATGGCCTGGAGCTCGGCCCAGATGAGGGAGGCGCGCATCTCGCGAGCTTGGAAACGGCGCATGAGGGTATCAGGGAGTGCGCCGAGGAGGATGGTGCAGGCGCGGTTGTCAGCAGTGGCCCATGCGATGCTCCGAGGGAGGTAGTCCGCCATGGCCGTATTGTACTCATCAAGGAGCGCTAGGCGATTGGCGCGTTCCGCTACCGCGAAGTCGTGGTTATGTACCGCAACCTCATGCTCCGCCTTGCGGATGAGGTATTCGCGGCGATCGTGGAGAAATGCAGCATCGGCGGCATCTTGGAGCGCTGGGGAAGTGGCGATCTCCAAGGTGGGTTCAGGAGGAGGAGGACCAGGAGGAATGGGGGGTGGAGGGGGTTCGCCGGGGTGATTGGGTGCCGTGGGCTGGAGGGCTTGCGGGCGGCGGAGGAGGACGTCAAGGACACAGTAGGGTCCGACGAATGCATCTTGGAGAACACGGCGGATGCTCCCGACGAAGGAATGCCAGTTGATCGCCGAGCGGTCCGCGGCAAGCTGAAGCTTGTCGACGGAGGAGGCGTCAATTGGAGGGGGGAGAGGGGGAGGAGTGGTAGCCATGAGGGGCGACGGCGGGTGGACCCGCGGCGGCCTCGAGGTGGACGGCGGCGGGTGGACCCGCGGCGGTCAAGTGGGAGGGCGACGGCGGGTGGACCCGCGGCAGCCGAGAGGGAGGAGGGGGGGGGGGGGGAGGGGGGGGGGGGGGGGTGCTGCTGCGGGGAGTGGAGTTCTTCTCCGGCTGCTGCTGCTGCTGCCGCTGCTGCCGCTGCTGCCGCTGCTGCCGCTGCTGCCGCTGCTGCCGCTGCTGCCGCTGCTGCCGCTGCTGCCGCTGCTGCTGCTGAGAGGGAGGAGGGGGGGGGGGGGGAGGGGAGGAGGGGGAGGAAGATGGTGGATGCAGCTGCTGCCGCTGCTATCGCTGCTCCTGATGCTGCCGCTGCTGCCGCTGTTGCTGCTGTGGCTGCTGAGCTGTCCCGGCTGCTGCTGCGGGGGAGGAGAGGAGGAGGAAAGGGGGAGGGGGAGGGAGAACGCAGGTGTAGCTGTGGGCGAAGCTGTTGCTGCCAATGACGCTGCTGCTGCGGGATGAGGCGGCTGCTACGAGGAACGTTCGGCGGCGGGATGCGCGGGTGGCGACGAGGGAATCGTGGCGGCGGAATGAGCGAGCGGCGACGAGGAGGGCGCGGCGGAGGGATGCGCAGGCGGCGACGGGGAAGGCACGGCGGTGGGATGCGCGGGCGGCGACGAGGAAGGCGCGGCGGCGGGATGCGCGGGCGGCGACGAGCAGGTCGCGGCGGTAGGATGCGGGGGCGGCGATTGTTAGGTCGCGGCGACGGGATGTGCGGGCGGCGACGAGCAGGTCGCGGCAGGAGGTCGCGCGGGCGGCGACTTTAGGTCGCGGCGGCAAGGGGTGCAGGCGGCGACGAGAAGGTCGCGGCGGCAAGGGGTGCAGGCGGGGGGAAGGTCGCGGCGGCGGGATGCGCAGGCGGCGACGCGAAGTCGCGGCGGCGGGTCGTGCAGGCGGCGACGCGAAGTCGCGGCGGCGGATCGTGCAGGCGGCGACGAGCGGGTCGCGGCGGCGGGATGCGTAGGCGGCGACGGGGGGTCGCGGCGATGGGGAGTGCAGGCGGCGACGCGAAGTCGCGGCGGCGGGACAGGAGGCGACGACGGGGCGTCGCGGCGGCGGGATGCGCAGGCGGCGCCGAGGAAGGCGCGGCGGCGGTGGGGGGAGGCGGCGACGCGACGTCGCAGCAGCGGGAGGGGCAGGCGACGACGGGGCGTCGCGGCGGAGGGATGCGCGGGCGACGCCGAAGTAGGCGCGGCGGCGGGAGGGAGACGGCGACGGGGGGTCGCGGCAGGGGGAGGAGGAGGCGGCGACGAGGCGTCGCGGCGGGATGTGCAGGCGGCGCCAGAGAAGGCGCGGCGGCGGAAAAAAGGGGGAGGGGGGGGGGGGGGGGGTGGGCAGCGACGGTGTGTCGCGGCGACGGGGGGCGGTGATGCACTCGCGGCGGTGGGATCCGCAGGCGAGGAGGGCGCAATCACGGCGGAGGGAGGGGAGGGCGGCGACGACGTAGGTCGTGCCAAGGAGATGCTAGGTTGAGCCACACGTAGGGGGTTTGTGGCTGTGGGGTGGGCCCATGGGGAAGAAAAAACTTTGAGGGAGGGAGAGAAAAGGCTTAGGAACAACTAGCTCTATACCATGTGAAGATTGTGAATTGAACAAGTAATTGGATTAGAGGAACAACCTAGCATACATAGTTGGAAGGGAAGGTTGGAAGGGAAGGATGAAAGTGACCATAGGTTGGATTGACCTCACTTGGGGAAGTGAGGGAACCATAGGTCAAGTGGGTTGGGTTGCCCACACTTTGTAGAAGTGAGGCAACCCTAGGCCCACTTGGCTTGGGGTAACCTCAATTGTGGGAAGTGAGGTACCCACAAGTCAAGAGGGTTGCATTTGGGGGCTCCACCACAATTGGGTGGATTGGCACCCCAAAGTGCAAGACTACACCCAAAGTTGGGTGTAGTCCCAACCCAACTGTACACCACAATTGGTGTACAGTCACATGTGTTGGCATGCTACACAATATATATTTTAACAGGGGGGGGGGGGGGGGGGGCATGAGAGAAGCGTGAAAGAGGCGTGGGGGAAGGAGGAGGAATGACTCAAAAGTCACCTCGTTACAATGGCACATGACACGCGACACATTTCCACAAGGAAGATTTACCTTGAAAACTAGACATTGGGGCACACACACTCCCAAGACGCACAACCAATGCACAGGTGTGCACACAAGGCCATAGCGTACCTCTATGTAGAAACGGCCATCGGGTAAGGGGTCACATCTAATTGCAGCATGGGGGAGATGGGAGGATGGGAGGATGGGAGGGCAGGCAGGGCAAAGAGGGGACGGGAGGGGATTGTTTTGGAGTGAACTTTAAAGCACTATTGATGGTTGAATGGAACGACTGGCAGGAAACGAGAGGAGAGGGGAAAAGGGTATAAGGAGGACTTTTGAGGTGCCTCAAAAGTTGAATGGAACGACTGGCAGTAGAGGAGAGGAGGGAAGGGTATAAGGAGGATCGGAAATGCCACGGGAGGGAAGGGGTGGTCACAGCTTTGGGAAGTGTTGACACACAAGCAGGTTGTGACAGGTGGGGGAAAGCACGGCACAGGTGTGTGTAGTAAAAGGGAGAATGTTATGGCAAAGTTGCGGCTCGGCATGGCGAGGAGATGCCTAGGGATGGCATGGCATGGCATGGCATGGCATGGCATGGCATGGCACGGCATGACATGCAGCAGGGCATACTCTGAGATCTTGACTTCACAGGCCACGTCCTGCATAGTTCCAGTGCGCCGATCCACACCCACCTGGTGCAAGTGGGGGAAGGCAAACGAGGCAAGCAAAGGATTCAACAAGAGATGGTATGCATGGCATCGGAGATGCATGTACGAGATTGTATGCATGTATAATTTCATGCCAAGCATGAGATGGCATGCATGGCATCGTGAGCCATGGTGTGGCATGGCATGGCATGGCATGGCATGGCATGGCATGGCATGGCATGGTGGGACATTTTTTAGGCGCGTCAAAACTCGCATGGTGCAACATGGCATGGCTTTCATGGCTTTCTTGGCATGAGAAGTGGTGGCAGCAGTGGTGGCAGCAGTGGTGGGTGGCATGACTATCTGCGTTTTCTTGGGCTTGTTTGTGGTGGTGGCATTGGTTGTTCTTGGCCTTGAGTCGTACCATGCCCATGCGGTGATCCCCTTCCATGATCCTGCGGATCTGCATATGGTATTGTACATGCGCATGTGTAGTGATGCACGTGCACACGCGCACACATGCATGCACATGGAAACACACACAAACACACACGGGACGCACAGGGATACAAAGGAAGGCATGGAGCACGTAGGATGAGGGGAACTTGGTAGAGCCATTGAAGTTGGGTGAATAAAGACGCTCATCCATAAATGCCCAAAGGCCTGCCCAATTCTCAAAAGGTCTCCCGCAGACGATGCCCCCTCGCCTACTCCCCCCATCGTCCCCTCCTTCTGCACCCCACACTCTGCCACCCCTGCTGTCCCCTTGACACCTTGCCCCTTTCCTCCCCCGTACCCACCATGAGGCGGTATCTGCGTGTGATGAGGCGATTTTTTAGTCGACTCAAAAATCGCCTCCCCCGTACCCACCATGAGGCGGTATCTGTGCTCGAATATGTTGAATATGTTGAGAGCCATCTTCTGCCATCTTATGGGGCAGCACAGAGTCCCGTGCACACATGCATCAGGCTCTCCTTCCCCTCGCCATAATCCCCACCCAGCCAACCCCCCTTCGTCCTCCCTCCCCCCCCATTCCTTCCTTCACACCCACCATGAGGCGGTATCTGGGCTCGAAGATGTTAAGAGCCATCTTCTGCCCGGGAAGAACAGAATCCATGACGAACAGAGGCAGGATCTTATGCACAGGGGTGGAGAGGGGTGGAGAGGGGTGGAGAGGGGTGTGGGATTCTCGCTTGAAAGTACTGAGTCTGTGCTCAAGAGAAGGAGGAGGAATTCACGCAAAGCAGAAAGAACGCAGGGTGAGTGGAAAGGGGTGGGAGACGGCACAGGGGATTGTGGTGTGCTTTAGAGCGGTGGAACAAGATAGACCAGGGTACTATCCACTGCCTACAACTTGCATCTCCCTCACTCGCCTCTCCCCCCACTCCCCTGTTCCCCACACACGCACTTCCCACTCCCACACACTCACCTGTCCGCCCCCCGAAACACTCACCTCTCGCCCCACCACCTTCTCCCCCTCCACCTCCTGCCGCCTCTCCTCATACTCCTCTGGGAACAGCCGCTCTAGAATGGCCTGAAGAGTCACACTGCAGGGGAGGAGTAGCAACAGCGGGGCAGGGGCGATTCAGTGGGTGGAGGTGCGTGAGGTGAGGTGGGTTAGGGGGACTCAGAGACTTCAACTTCAGGGGACGGTCTCTCCTCATACTCCTCTGGGAACAGCCACTCAGGGATAGCCTGAAGGGTCACACTGTGCGGGGGGAAAGGGGAGGAGGAAAGGTGGCTAGAACAGGGGTGTCGGAGGTTGCAAAGGCAGGATCAGGTGATTCAGCTGAATTTTTTGAGTCCATTCATCTGTTAGGGTGTGGAATGACCTGAGAGAATGTTGCAATCACCTGAAGGGGTGTGAAATCACCTGACAGGGTGTTGCATAGGGCTGACGAAGAGAACAGTGCGGCACACGGGGCACTTATTACCTGCAAGGGGGGAGAACGAGAGGAGAGGAGAACGAGAGGAGAGGAGAGCGAGAGGAGAGGAGAGCGAGAGGAGAGGAGAGCGAGAGGCAAAAGGACACAAGAAGCCATGTCAGGATAAAAGCTTGAACGGCTGCTTCTTTTTCTTCGTTATCCTTTTTCCTGGAAAGAGTGAAGAGGTATGATATGGCTACACAGCTCGCCATACCACGCCATGCCATGGCCACGACATGGCACTGAAGTGGAGTGGTGTGCCCTGGCTACATGCCACACCACTGCATGTGATGAGACTTTTTTTAAGGGTCAACTAAAAAAATCCCCACCGCATGCCAGAGCACTGCAGCAGCATCTGACTGAGCCCCTTTTGCCAGGGCTGCACTGCAAGCATCATTGAGAGGGACCACCCTTGAGCCACTTGCGACGACTCACAGGTGATTTGTGAGGCGAGGCGTCCCAAGACACTTGTGTTGTGTTGTGTGTGTGACCATGTGATCATGGTGTGACAGGGACAGAGGCACACGCACAGCATACCATGATCCAGCACACGCACAGTCGCTCATGCCCATGCTAGCTAGCAACACACACACGTGCACACATAAACACACGCACACACTAGCAAATGCGCACACATGGTAGCATGGTAGCAGCACGGGCACACATACCATGATCCAGCACACGCACGAGACAGGAGCGACAGAAAGTGTGCCCTGCAGTGGGCGAGACAGGGTGCAGAGAGGGAAAGGTGGGAGGGTGGGGAAGTTTTGGTAAGCGTTTCTGCCCAACGGCCAATCGTCCAGGGTGAATGACAAGACAACAGGGCGTGGTGACAAGTAGCAGTATAAGGTAATTTCTGAGGCGCTTCAAAAAGCAGCATACCACAGGGGGTGGTGACCGGGTGAAACAGCAGCTTCAGGCACAGACTGCAGTCAAACTCCTCTGTCCTCTCCACTGTATGCTGCTGACTCTTCTCATTCTTCCCATGCTCCTCCTGCTTCTCATGCTGCTGCTCGTCCCCCTTTCCCTTCTTCACCTTCCCCTTCCCCTTCCTAGCCCTCTTCCTCCTCACCACATCCTTCCCCTCCTCCTGCTCCCCATCCCCCACCACCACCACCTCCCCTACTCCTGTCACCTCCCCTCCCTCCTTCTTCCCTCCTCCTCCCCTTTCCACACCCTTCCCATCTCTCTCCTCCCCGTCCTCCTCCTCTTCCTCCTCCTCATCACTTTCCTCTTCCCCCTCAGAAGACGACAAAGAGCCTTCTTCGACCTTCCCCTCCCCTGCCTCCTTCCCCTTGCTCCTTACCCCCGCGACGCCTCTCAGCCCCTCCCCTGTTCCTCCTCCCCCTCGCCCTGCCTGCACCACTCGCCGCACCTCCTCCTCCTCTGCTGTTAGTTCCTGCAACCCCGCTTGTAACAGCGGGCTGGGGGAAGCACACGGGCATACAGGGAAAGGCAGTGGGTCGTGTGACAGTCAGATGGCGAGTGTCTGATCTGAATATTCTCCTCTGCTGTTATTTCCTGCAGCCCCGCTTGCAGCAACGGGCTAAGGGTGGCACATGGGGGAAGGCAGTGGGGGAAGAGGGAAGCGGGAAGGGGGAAAGGGGAAGGGGTAAGGGGAAAGGGAAAAGGGGAAGGGAGGGGGAAGGAGGAAGGGAGAAGGGGAGCAGGGCAACATGAAAGCAGGTATTAGGAAAGACTAGGATGCATGGGCAACATGTAGTAAGTGGATTGACTAGGTTGCCCATACATGGGCAACATGCATGTTGCTTCCAAACCACGGGCATGCATGCTCCTCCATCTGTCAATCCACATGCATGTTCCCACAGGCCCTGGCTCACTTGGTGGGGTCGATGTGTAGGCCGCTGAGAAAGGCCTCCCGAGCGTCGCTGTATCGCTCCAACTGTGGCACAGGCAGGTGGGAGAGAGATGGGAGGGAAGGAGAGCGATCTCTGAGTCGACTGGGAAAAGGCCCTTGAGGAATGCCCCCCAAGTGTCGCTGTATCGCTCCAACTGTGGCACAGGCAGGTGGGAGAGAGATGGGAGGGAAGGAGAGCGATCTCTGAGTCGACTGGGAAAAGGCCCTTGAGGAATGCCCCCCAAGTGTCGCTGTATCGCTCCAACTGTGGCACAGGCAGGTGGGAGAGAGATGGGAGGGAAGGAGAGCGATCTCTGAGTCGACTGGGAAAAGGCCCTTGAGGAATGCCCCCCAAGTGTCGCTGTATCGCTCCAACTGTGGCACAGGCAGGTGCAAGAGAGGAGGATGAGAAGGAGAGGGGGGCGAGTGGCGAGGAGATTAAGGGAGGGGCAGTGAAAGGTGGGTGTAGGAGGAATGATGAACGGGAAATTGTTTGGATATTGTACTGTGAGCAATGGCAAGCATGGCAGCAAAAGAAGCAGCAGAAGCCACTCACGAGAACACACACTGCTGCTTTCCTGAGGTGCGCCTTTGGCCACTCCTCGCTCTGCTTGACTAGCTTCTCCGCATCCTTGAGAGCCAGCTGTCACATGTAAACAGGCAGACAGGCAGAAAAGATATGGAGAGAAGGAGAGAGAGCGAGCTGGCATAGCATGAGAGAAGTGCATCAGACTGTAAGACACCAGTTTCAAGGAAATGGCAGACTGGTCAGCAGGGGCAGAGCAGAGCACCTGCGCAAGAGAGTAAACGAGCCCTGTGCTGCTGCTCTGACTCTGCTACTTGCTTGCTGAGTCGACTCAAGGGGCACCTAGTGTAGTAGCACCTGCGCGAGGGAGAGAGGGTCGAGGCCGTAGAGAGCCTTTTCTGTAGGCGCCTCAAAAATCGTGCGTGGGGTGAGTGCGAGTGGAAGGGGCCTATCTGTAGAAGCACAGCACCTGCGCGAGGGAGAGAGGGTCGAGGCCGTAGAGAGCCCTGCGCTCCGACTGTGCTGCTGGGATGCTGCGCAGGCGCTTGCTCAGACTGGCGGATTGGGGGGGACGTGGAGGGAGAGGGGATTAACTTTCGAGACGTCTTGAAAGACGCTTGCGCATACTGGCGGATTGGGGGGGGGGGGGGCGTGGAGGGAGAGGGGATGAAGGCAGGGGGATTGAGCCTCTGGAATGCGCTCCGACTGCGCTGCTGGGATGCTGCGCAGGCGCTTGCTCAGACTGGCGGATGGGAGGGGGAAGGAGGCAGGGGGGACGGCAACGGATGCATGGGGAATTGGTGTGGATAGATGGTGACGTTCCACCGCACGCTTTGTGAAGCATGAGTGTGCGAGTGTGAGCATGTGTGTGTGCGAGTGCGCGCATGTGCGTGCGCTTGTGCGTGTGCGGTTGCTGCAACCAACCACAACCCCTTCAACCCTTGTTCCCGCTTTCCCCCTCCCTAGCCCGGCCCTACCAGCAAACCGCAGCAAATCAGTCACTGGGGAGCACAGAGGTAGCATGAGGGGGCAGACGGGACACACGGGGTCCCAACTTTCAAGGCACATCACAACATGTCAAATCACTACCAGCAGAGCGCAGCAAACTAGTTACAGAGCAGCACGGAAATAGCTGGCTGGCACAAGGGGGCAGAAAGGGCAGACGGTGGGCCAGCTTTCCAGGCAGAGTCGTTAGCCCCAAACCCAAAACGACCTTCTAGCCCCTGTAAATGTCTGCAAAGGCCGCGTCTCAAAAATCGGCAAAGGCATACCAGCAGAGAGCAGCGGATCGGTTACTGAGCAGCACGGAGGTAGCATCAGGGGGCAGACGGTGGGTGGGGGAAAATGGTCGGTTTCAATTTCAACTCAACTGCGCCTCACAAGTCATCTAGGGCATACCAGCAGAGAGCAGCGGATCGGTTACTGAGCAGCACGGAGGTAGCGTCCAGGGGCAGACGGGAGGGCACAGAGGCCGTGGGGGTGGCGGTGGTGGTGGGGGGGGTGGAGGAAGGTTGCAGGGCAGAGAGGGGGGTGGGTGGGAGTCGGAACCCCTCTTCTGGGCTGCTGCTAGCGCTCACAAACGGGCTGCTGCCGCCGCTGCCGCTGCCGCTGGTGCTGCTCGGGTTTGGAATGACAGCAGAGGGTGTGACACTAGTGGGTGTGACAATGGCGGGTGTGGCAGCAGTGGGTGTGACAATAGCGGGTGTAACAGTAGCTGAGTGTGCCTGTGACGAGGCGAGCTGGCTGAATCGCTGCAGCGCGCGGGAATAAGCTTCTATGGCCTGATGGAAGAAATGCGGCAGGAGGTGAGGTGAGGGGGGCAGAAAGGTGGGAGAGAGGGAGGAGGGACGGGTGAGTGCATGTGCATGGGGGTGGGTGAAGGAGAAAGGAGAGAAAGAGGGGAAAGGCTATTCAATCGACTTGTGAGGCGCCTCATTTCAATCGGCTTGTAAAACGGGTATGTTACCTTTCTTCCCCCCCCGTCCCTCCTACCCAGAGAGCGCGCATCTCCTCGTAGTTGCCCCGGCGGAATTCCCCGTTGCCCCGCAGGTAATATTTGAGTCGACTCAAGAATCCATTTTGAAAAGCCTTCTCCTCCCCACTTCCCCCATCCCCCCCACTTCCCCCATCCCCCCCACTTCCCCCATCCCCCCCACTCCCCCATCCCCCCCACTTCCCCCATCCCCCCCACTCCCCCCATCCCGCCCACTTCCCCATCCCCCCTCCCTCCCCCCGCCCGCCCAGAGCGCGCACCTCCTCGTAGTTGCCCTGGCAGAAGGCCCCGTTGCCCCGCAGCAGCATGTGGCGCACCGTCCCCGCGTCCCCCCCCTCGCCCAGCAGCGCCGCCAGCTGCCCCAGCGCGCCCCGCTCCGCCTCGTCCTTGGGGGGAAAGCGAGGAAGGCGTGGGAAGGGGGGGGCAGGAGAATGGGTTGGGGGAAGCAGGGGGAGGAGTAAAGGCAAGGGTACACATGAACGAATGAGCCTCCTCAAGTGAACATTGCGGTTGGGGGAAGCAGAGGGAGGAGTGAAGGCAAGGGGAGTAAAGGCAAGGGTACACATTAACGAATGAGCCTCCTCAAGTGAACATTGCGGTTACAGAGACGACTTTTGAGGCGCCTCAAAAGCAGGGGGAGGGGAGGGGAGGCAGGGGTACACATCACATCACATCACATCACATCACATCACATCACATCACATCACATCACATCACATCACATCACATCAAAAGGTGAGACGAGTCTCCTAGAGCCTCCTCCTGCGGTGAGTCTCATCAAGTGGGGTGTTTGTGTGAGCCTCTGAGTAGAAAGGGAGGCTGAGGCTTACAAGCAGCGGGTCGTCGTCAACCCCAGGATCCAAAGACGAATGGGGTGGGGGAAGCAGGGGGAGCGGAGGGAGGGGTACACATTAAGAGGTGTGTGTGAGCCACCGTGTGTGTGAGCCACCGAGCGGGTCGGGTTAGTGATGTGCCATGAGGCTTACAAGCAGCGGGTCGTCGTCAACCCCAGGATCCAACGACGAAGCGGGATTGACGGTCGTGTGGATAGTAACGCGCGCGCTCGCGCCCCGTGCCGCTCCTTCCCCTCCTGCTTCTCCGACTCCTCCCGCTGCGACTCCGTCAACAGGAGGCGCGGATAAGGCGGCGGCAGCAGGAATTTGCGACGGAGTTTCCATCGTCGCACGGGTTCGCTCGGTCCTGCGCAAGCTGGCTTGCGCTTCGTTGGTTACACGTCGCACACACGAGTTACGATTACCCTGCTTTTCGTTGCCAGAACAGCCGCAAGCATGTGAGTGTGTGTGTGCGGCGGGTGTGGCGGGGTGGGGGCGGTTTCCTTGCAAGAAAATGTGGGGGAGGGAGGGACGCCGAATGCAGGGTGCGGGGCAGGAAAAGTTGTGCGACGAATTCGGATGTGGCGATGGGCGAAAACTCTCTAACGAATCGAGAGAAAGCTCCGAGCGCCTCGCACTTCTGTGTTTCTTGGTTACCCTGGAAGTACGGGGGAATGGCAGACCCATCATATGGATGGTGAGTTGATGGCAAGGGTTGATGGAGCATCAGGTGGGGGATTAGCTGACGTGGCGTAACGCTGTTTGTTGGAAACGTCACCACGTGGGATTCTTCTCAACTTGCTGGATAGTCAACCAGTCACGCATGGAGCAAAGCAGCGTGGCGCTAAGGAGACCACAGAGGAAGACGCGATACGGCAGGCATCAATACTCGTATTGGGTGTCCATACCCATATACTCAAGAATCAAACAATTTCGTAGCCTCCTAAAAATGAGAAAATAAATCTGTCAAGCTTACATAAGGCTACATTCATCTTTGCTCGACAATAAAAAAAAACATTTCAATATATTGGACATTAAACTCTGCCACCTGTACACATCAAGAATCCAGGCCGCAGCACCTACACCACATGATGCAAGTCACACCATAGCGAGGTATTGCTGTTGACAGTCTCGGCTATGGCAGCAGCGGTCGGGGTGGTGGACGGAGGTAGGTGTAGGTAGGTGGGAAGGAGTGGAAATGGGTATGGAACCGGTGTGAAGAGCTACCCAGGGTGGAAAATCAGAGAGCCTCAACGAGCACAAATCAACTGGTGAACAGAGCGCAGCGTCACGAGACCCAAGTAAGAAACTGGCGGAGTAGCAGCCTAATTGCGGCCGTGCTTACGCGTACAGCGGATTCTAAGTCCTGGGGGCAGCACCCGCGGCACCAGGAGCACCGGGGGCACCGGGGGCACCTGGGCGACCACCTGGGGCACCTGGAGCACCTGGCTTGCCACGGTCGTCCTGCTTTGCATTACCAGCGTGGGGAGGAAGAGAGGGAGGGAGGATGGAAGAGGGCAGATGGGAGGATGGTGAGAGAAAGGTGGGGAGCAAGAGGGGTGGAGCAGGCAAAAGTGGGAGAGAGAGGAATATGAGGATACAGTAGGCGCTACATGATTGCACACATCAATACACCACAACCCACTAGTCCCCTCCCCACGCATCACCCACACATCTCCAACCCCCACACATCCCCACACTCCCCGCCCACCAGCAGCAGCAGCGCCTTCACCCACCTTGCGCCCGGGCCTCTTGGGCGGCTCGCGGATGCGGCGCGCCTGGCGCGAGCGCACGCGCACGACGTGCGAGTGGATGGCGCACGAGATGCAGTACTGCACCTTGGCGTACAGCTTCGGCAGCGCGTAGCCTGCGCGCACGAGGGGGAAAAGGAGAAGGGGGGCGAGGGGGAGGTGGGGGGGGGGGAAGAGGAAGAGGGGGTGAAGGAGGAGGTAAAGGAGGAGGGCGATCCAGCGGTTACGGATTTTGAGGCGCCTCAAAAAGGAGGAGGTCGAGGAGGCGGAGGGCGATCCAGCGGTTACCCTATCAAGATTCGCGTTTCTCTCATGCACTCTCATCCCTCTCTCATCCATCTGCATCAATCCACCTGTCTCCAATGCCATCTGCAATTGCCCCACAGCCCATTATCTACTCATACCATCCGCCTCTGCCATTCTGCACGCTGCAAGCTACAAGACCCCTATCCCCCCTTCCCCTTGCCCCGCTGCCGCTAGCCCCCCGATAGCTCCCCCTGATGGTCCCCTAGCCTCCCCCCCATAGGCCCCTCCGCGCACCGTCATAGACGCACGCCTCCTGCACGTCACGCACGGCCGCCTGCTCCACGATGTTGCGCACGAGGAACCGCTTCACCGCCTTGTCCTGCGCGGGGGGGGAAAGGGGGGGGGGAGGGAGGGGGAGGGGCGGAGTACGGTCAGGGGGGGCGTTCCAAAATCTCACGCACGGCCGCCTGCTCCACGATGTTGCGCACCAGGAACCGCTTCACCGCCTTGTCCTGTGATTAACGGCGGGGGAGGGAGAGAGAGGAGGGGAGAGAGGGTGAATATGAGAAATTGGCGGGTGACGAAATGTCGCAATGAACGACGAGAATCTAAGGCGGGCACTATAGACTCCACACCGGTAAGTGGCAAACTGCCTTCTACGCAGGCTTCTATTCAGAGAAAGAACAACGAGGGGAACAAAAGAACATGGTAGGGATGGATGTGATGACAGGGGAATCCAGACAACTACGATCCACGGCCGGCACTGACCCACTCACGACTGCCAATAATTTTGGACAGGAATTGATATAAATAGCAGTCAGAAGGGGTTCAAATAGAGCTCAGGATTCAAGATTGACTTCAACTGGCCGTCTCTTAGACGTCCGATAGTCAGATCAACTTAGTACATAGAATATAAAGCATCATAGCTCCCTTCCAAACAACCTGGTCACTACTCGTGACTGAACCAGCGTAGCAACTACACATTAATCACCAGCGAATGAAATGCCATGGGCTCAGAAAAAGCGTTATTATAGAATGATCACTCATGCGAGCAGAAGCCGCAATCGGAGTTTACTGTAGCTCATCATAGCTCCCTTCCAAACAACCTGGTCACTACTCTTGACTGAACACGCGCAGCAACTACACACTAATCACCAGCGAGCGAAATGCCATGGGCTCAGAAAAAGCGTTATCATAGAATGTTCACTCATGCGAGCAGAAGCCGCAATCGGAGTTTACTGTAGCGCATCATAGCCCGGCAAGGCAACCAGCCACAACTCGCACGTGCAGAGGCCTAGTGAACACGACACAGTTCGAATCGAACTAGCAAATACGAGGCTAAGACACAACAACCGAGTGGAATAACTCGGGAGAGGAATTACTCAGGGCGGAAACACTCAGAGCGGAATTACTCTAGCGGAATTTCTCGGAATTTCTCGGAACTACTCGGAACTTCTCGGAACTACTAGGAACTACTAATTTTCCAGCGGCAGAAGCTCAGGGACATTGAGATGTGTCTTCAACGGCTGCCGAATCGGCAGTCGTGAGTTCAGGTCAACTTAGTACGTTAGTCTAAGCATCATCGCTTCTGTTCCGCGGGGCGCTCGACGGCGGCTACGAGGACTGATATGAGCGACATGAGAATGGTACCGACTCAAAAACATTACGCTGCCGCGGAGAGATTGGCACCGACGCGAGGCTAAATGAGAATCAGGGATGCGGAAACAGCAATCAGGGAATGTTGAAACACAGGAGAGGGGAGAAAGGAGGGGGGACACAGAATCTATCCGCACTATATAAAACGACTTCCCACTAGGGTGCGGACGCGGATTCAGGATTCCACTCGAACATCCGAAACTTGTCGACGGATGCGTGGGGGGCGGAGGCGGACGCACCTTGGGGCAGCACTTGGCGCAGTTGGAGCAGCGGATGGGCTTCACGTGCCCGCGCCCGTGCTTGTTGCGCCCTCCATTGCGCCGCTTCACCGTCTGCAAGGGGTGGCGGGATGGGGGGGAGGAGAAAGGAGAGGAAGGGGGGGAGGAATAAGGGGGAAGACGAGCCAGACGGACGGAAGGAAAGAGATAAAGAGCGAGTGCGAGAGAAGAGCGAGAGAGAGAGAGAGCCCGAAGGCGAAAGAAGGCAGGGCGGGGACGGGAAATCGATTGTGGTAAGTGAGAGAGAGAGAGCCCGAAGGCGAAAGAAGGCAGGGCGGGGACGGGAAATCGATTGTGGTAAGTGAGGGAGACTGAGCGCAAGGCAAGGTAGCACAGAAAAATCGGCGAATACTGGAAATTCGGTGACAAATCTGGGTGGAGGAATGGGGGAAGGCGAAATTAAATCGTTGCTGATGGAACAAAGACGCGTGAAAGTGAATCGCGATGGGAGGCCATTGGCCACAGATGGGCTTTCTCCTTCATAAACTGGCAACTCTATAAAAACGAGGCTTTAACCGACTATGGCACATGCCTTCGCGATGTGCACTGAGTAAAGCCCCGGACAAATTTCCGGAACTCTTCGAAGCACCGATTCTCACAATCCGCGCTGCGCAAAACTCGGTAACAAAACGCGCTGGACGAGCATGTTGCTCAGCTAAGCCCACTTACCATGGTGACGTCACTGTGTAGTAATCCTGGATAAGGGTAAGAAGAGACTAAGGAGAGAGAAGATCCAAAGGGAGAAACTAGGGCAGGGAAGAGATGGTTTTATGGCGGGAGAAGGTGGGGGGATGAGGAAGAGATGGGGGGAGTTGGGAGGAGAACAAGTGGTGGGAAATGAGGAAGGTGGTGAGCAGTGGCGACCAAGGTGGGGGAAGGAAGGCTTTCGGGGATTCGCCCATCGACGGCACTTGAGGTCTGGCATTGATACTCTCCGCATACCCTGTATCTACACTATGGATTTGCAAAACAGAAAGCAAGTAAGCATACATGATGCAGTCATCTTTTGCTCATAGCGTACTACACATTTGTTGCATATGTTAGCTTTAATTTCATGTGATGTATTGTGAATAACTATTTTCCTTACATCCTTATACCATCCAACTGGCTACCATGATCTATATTTGCCAGGTCGCAATATATTTATGCTAACTGTAATTAAAAGTAGGGGTACTTGCTGTATTCCGTCAGCCATTTCATATGTATTAGAACGTACACCAACAACAAGACTTGTATGGCAGGTTCTATTTGGTAGCCGCACGTCCGCGCACTCGTGGCACGCAGTCCAGCTGACTCCCTTGTGGAACAGTTCTCCCCCTTGCACGCAGCTTGCGGATGAGGCTTCTGCAGTCGGAACCTATTTCCATCGTCGATCTCAATCTGTGGATGGGGGCGTCGTTTGCGTAGCCTTCCCCGATTGGTTGGGACCTGGTGGGTAGGCCAAGGGACCGTTAGGTTCTCAGCATCGTGCGGAGCACAGCGGCGAAGCCCCGCATTCTGTCCAACAAAAGTTTCAACGAAACCGACTCCATTGTCGTCAATTTGCGAAACCACAGGCGATTGTCTAGCGAAACCTTGGGTCCTTGTTTTGGTTTCTTTCCCATCGTCGCACGACAGCTCGTCTCCTCTCGCGCATCCTCCCTGCGACTCACCTGCGACGCATGTGGGGGTGGATGGAACCCTTCCCGCCTTTCTCCACCCTCTCTGTACAGTGCCGAGAAGTTCGTGAATCACCCCACAACTCTCATCCAATTAGGTGGAGGAAAAGGAAGAGAGGGAGGACCCCAAGGGCCAACTGCAAGATAATGGAACAGAACGGTTGTGTGAAATTATGCAGGTTTTGATACGTTGTAGCGCGTTCTAGTACGGTGTGATGTGTGTTTGGGATCTGGTTGTTGCTGGCTTCGAGGTTTGCGCGCTGCCTTGTTCACTGGTTTCCTACCTCAAGGTTTGCGCGCAAACCTAGATTTCCTCCTCTGTTCCTGTTCTGGTGCTCCCTTTTTGCTGATGCTCCTTTCCCTTCTGCTGCTCCTCGAGGTTCGCTGTTTGTGGCGTAGTGGGTTCGCGCACCTCCGATCTGTTCGCCCATTTCGCCGTTTGCTCTTTCTTACCTAACGACTAGTTTCTAACACACTCACGGCTCGTCTCCAGTTTTTTTCAAATTTTGGTCTCTGTTTGGTGCTTTCTCGATCGCACTTCGAGTGTGTCATATAGTCTCTACTGGCAGCGCGTGTTTCATCGCAGTAGGTCCATGATTAGGGGGGGTACGATGTCCGATAAAAGCTCCATTTCAATACTTAGGAGAGAAGAGAGGCGTTTCTTTCAGGCTCTTTGTGGCAGATTGCTTGGCCGATTCTGTTCTACTGGTATCTGACTCAGCAAAGAGTAAGGACGACCTTGTTCCGTGGGGAGGGAGATTGTAGGTCTCGGCAGGCGGTGTTATGTTCTAGATTATTCCAGACCACTTAGGGATAGAGGAACCGAGGGTCGTTCGAGTGGGTGGTGGTATCCGTTGTTGTAACGGCAGTTGAACGGCACTTGAACGAGTTAGGGCTTTCGGACATTCTTTCTGGGACGTGGTTCATTCACTGGGCTCTCTGGAAGCAGACTGGGTGAATTATTGACATAATCAGGCCTGACTGTGACAGTAACGCAGCCAATTCCGCGTCTTTTGGTGGTTCCTCTACCATCAGTGGAAAAGGCAACTTCTAACTTCTACTAACTATCCTTCCATTATGGACGTCCCTAGATCGATGTCCTCCGAACCGTCGCGTCCGCGGCACTCCGCGGACGAGGATAGCGATCACATGGAGATGGACGGGGAGGTCAGCGCATCCAAATTTAGAAAAGACCTCCTAAAGTGGAAGAAGAACCGCAGCAATTTAGGCATCGGGGGAAGCGCAAAGGAGCACGGGTCCGAAAGCATGGTAGGCTCGGGAGGCGGCGCGAACCTCAGTTATGGCGACGAGGGGTTTACATGGAAGACATGGCGCCTGTCGCGACAGCTGGGTTTCACGTCGCAGGATGTGAACACGGTGAAGGAGTTTCTAAAGCACCGCGACGCGTGGAGCACGCTCGAGGACAGCCCCTCCAATCGCTTTTACGTCTTCGAGTACATGCAGAACGTTCGCGCCAACCATCCCAACATATTGAAGGTATCGTGGGGCTCTACATGCTTTCCTTTTTCTCTGTGTCTTCTTCCTTAGCAGCAACACGGGGAAGAAAAAAGGGCGTCGTTACCGGTTTTGTGTGGTCCGCTTCGGTTCAGAATACGCGTTTTTCCTTGTCCGAGTCGGTGCCAGAAGCGCACGCGTTTTTGCGGATAAGCATTTGCTCCAGACCTCCTTTTTTTTCCATTTTTTCCGTCGCGTCTTCGTATCTCTTTTTCCTCCCATGCCTCTTCTGTTCATACCCTTCTTCTCTCTTCCGTCGCTATTGCCGCCTTTCCCACATGCCCACCCACAACCTCCTCTCTCCACCTCTCCCGTCCCATCCCCGCCCCTCCTCCTTTCCCGTACCCCCTCCGCTCCTCTCACCCCCCTCTCCCTCGCTACCCCCAGGAATTCCGCGAGGCGCTGTTCACGCACAACCTCACGGAGGACGATTTGAACCAGGAGAAGCGCGAGACGCTGCAGCTCCTCGCGCTCATGTTCTGCGACAAGGAGGGGCTGTGGCGCCTGCGCAAGCAACAGCTCCTCGAAATCATCGTCTCGTCCAAGTCCTGGATTGACCGACACGGCGGCGGAGGAGGGGGAGGGGGTGGGGGAGGATCGGGAAGTGGTGGTGGTGGTAGTGGCGAATCGCGATCGTCTTCGTCGTCACCGTTTAGCCGGGTGGCTTCGAGGAAGGCACCGGGCGGGATTAACAGCGCGGAAGAGGGGGCGGCTGCGGCGGCGGCGCACCGCTTCGCGCGCGTGAACTCGCGGCAGGCGGCCGGCGGGCTCAACAGCGCGGACGGCGGCGGCGGCGGAGGCGGTTCGAACTTTGCCCGCGTGAGCTCGAGAAAAGCCGCCGGGGGGATTAACTCGCTGGAGGAGGAGCAGCGGCACGCGGCGGCGTTTGCGCGCGTGAACTCGCGGCAGGCCCCCGGCGGGATGAACAGCGCCGATGGCGGAGGCGGCGGGCACCCACCGGCCTTCTCCCGCGTGATTTCGAAAAAGGCGGCCGGCGGAGTAAACAGCGCGGACGAGGACCGGCGCGCGGCGGCGTTTGCGCGCGTGAACTCGCGGCAGGCAGCGGGGGGCGTGAGCAGCGCGGATAGCGGGGGAGGGGGGTCGCACCACACGTCCCCGTTCGGGAGAGTGAACTCGAGAAAAGCGACGGGGGGAGTGAATAGCGCGGAGGACGAGCAGCGGCATAGGGAGGAGCGGGAGAGGCAGAAGGAGGAGCGCGAGCGGCTTAGAGAGGAGCGGCACTCGTCGGCGTTTGGGCGGGTGAACTCTAAAAAGGCAGCCGGGGGAGTCAATAGCGCGGATGGGGAAGGGGGGCACGGGCACGGGGAGAGGGCGGAACGGGGGTTCGCGCGGATAAACTCGAGGCAGGCGGCGGGAGGAGTGAATAGCGCGGACGGGGAAGGGGGGGGGCACGGGGAGCGGGGAGAGCGGGCGGAAAGGGCCTTTGCGCGCATAAACTCGCGGCAGGCGGGCGGGGGAGTGAACAGCGCGGATTCGCCAAGCGAGCAGCGACGGGAGCGCTCGTACAACAGAGTGAACTCGAAGCAAGCCCCGGGCGGAGTAAACAGCGCCTCGCGTTCCGCCCACGGAGCAACAGCCGGGGGAGACGGTGGAGGCGGGGCGGGAGCGGAAGGCGGGCCTGGGGACGTGTATAACAACCAGAGCAGCTTTCTGGAGCGAGACAAGGAGCTGCTGCGCGCGTTTCTGTCCAACCCGCAGCAGTGGGACTCGCTCCTGGCCCGCACGCCCATGCACGCACGGTTCCTGGCGACGGTTCGCGAGCTTCGCGAGGCGCAGCGCGACGAGCTGCGACGGCTGCGCGACGTGATCATGGGGCAGAAGCAGGCGCTGGACGTGGAGGATATTCACGGGCTGGGGCTGGGCGTGCTGCAGGTGAGCTAGCGATTCATTCGCGAATGCGTGTTTTGTGAGCTCATGACGTATGAGACGTCTCAACTCTTGAGTTGCACGGGCTGGGCCTGGGCGTGCTGCAGGTGAGCGATGGATGTGTGTTGATACATGAGCGAATGCGTGTTTTCTAAGCTCATGACTTCTGAGACGCCTCAACTCAGGAGTTGTGTGAGATGTTGCAAGAACCAGAAGCAGGCGCTGGACGTGGAGGATATTCACGGGCTGGGGCTGGGCGTGCTGCAGGTGAGCTAGCGATTCATGCGCAAATGTGTTCTGTAACCTCATAATGTATGAGGCGCCTCAACTCAGGAGTTGTGTGAGATGTTGCAAGAACCAGAAGCAGGCGCTGGACGTGGAGGATACTCACGGGCTGGGCCTGGGCGTGCTGCAGGTGAGCGATTCATTCGCGAATGCGTGTTCTCAAAGCTCATGACGTATGAGGCGCCTCAACTCAGGAGTTGTAACTTGTGAGATGGTTCAAGAATCAGAAACAGGCGCTGGACATGGAGGTGAGCAATGGATGTGTGCGTGCGTGATTTCTGAGCTCTTGATGTTCGGGCCGACTTTTGAGTCGACTCAAGAGCAATGGATGTGTGCGTGCGTGTTTTCTGAGCTCTTGACGTCCGGGCCGTCTCAACTCAAGAGCGTGTGTGTAACTTGTGAGTGTGAGATGACTCTGAACCAAAAGCAGGCGATGGGAGTGGAGGCTTTTCTCGAGCTGCGCGTGAGCGTGTGCTGCAGGTGAGAGCATAGCGGCGTAGCGGAAGCGGGTGAAAAGAGACGTGCGGAGAAACATGGAGCGCGTGGGAAAGAGAGGTCCGGCATGGCGTTTACACGCGAACCCGCAGTTGCACGTATGCTGAAAGGGCACTCACGGGCTGGGCCTGGGCATACTGTTGACCAGAGGGGAGTAGGAGAGGTACTGTGTTGGGCGTGCTGTTCTTCTTTACTGGGTAAGCTTGGGGGCGGCACTAGTGTTAGCGCAGATCGAGAGTGGGTATTGACTGGCGTTTTTTGAGGCACCTGCGCGAACGATTGCAGTCTGATAAAGAGACGACTGGTATGAGTCGAGTCTGGCTGGAGGCCTTCTCTCTTTGCCTGGGTGACTGAGAACCCCTGTCCGGAATCAGGTGTGGTTTGAGTCGACTCAAAACACGACTGGTATGCGAGTCTGGAGGCCTTCCCTTTGCCTTGGTGACTACTGAGAATACTGAGAACCCTTGTCTGGAATCACTTTTGAGAATCAAAAGTGATTTCAACAGACCTCTTATATCTCTTTGCCTTGGTGACTGCATTACGACCAGCATGTTTCAAGCGCTCGAACTCGTTTCAAGTGCTCGTTCTCTTGTGATTGGTCTTTTTTTAGAGTGCACACACCATACCCGCAGCGAGTGCGTGGAAGCAACGCAGTGCAGCGTGGTGCAACGGGATTCGGGACATCTCGAAACTCGAAAGCTGATGTGCACTTGCCTCGGTGACTTTTGAGTCGACTCAAAAGTCAACTCGAACCTCGAAAGATGATGTGCACTTGCCTCGCTGCGGGGTGCCGATATGCCAGCAGACCTAAATTTCCCTGACCTAGCGTGCATACCAGGAAACTTGGCTTTACCATACCTAATGCACCTGAACCTGTTTGTTTTCCAGGTTGTGTCTCATTAGTTCGTCTTCCGTATCCTATCTTTCTCCTTCCAAACTCTCCACTCTTCTTGGGGTTGTTTCCGTGCTGTTTTCTCCTCTCCTATCGTATATCCTTCCTAATCCCCCGCTTCCTGCTCGTTCTCTCCTCCTTTCCTCCGTTCCCCCGTCCTCATGCCGTGTCTTCATTTCCTTCCCTCCGCGTCTCCCCCCGTCCAGGTGCTTGCCTCTGTTCTCTGCGACTCTATCAAAGTCACCTCCACCAGCAGAGAAGACCTCGTTACAGTGTGCCTCGCTATGGGCCCATGGCACCCTACGGCTGGGGACGATATGGACGATCACCATGCAGGAGGCGGCATGGGTTCGCCTGGCATGGGCGGCATGGGTGGCATGGGCGGCATGGGCGGCATGGGCGGCATGGGTGGGATGGTTGCAGCAGGGGGGCCTGTTCGGGACGCGGCAACGCTCAGGCAGGAAGCAGCGCACGCAGCAGCAATGGCAGCGAAGCAGATCGAGGAAGAGGAGGAAGAAGCGGCGGCGGCTGCTGCAGCAGCAGCATCAGCATCAGCAGCACCAGCTTCGTCCGCACCAGGAGGGGGGATACCGCGAGGGGGCAAGGAGAGAATGAGCCGCCGACGATCAGTTGAGTCTGCAAAGGATGCGAGAGAGGGCGGGGGAGGGGAGGATAGCCCTGGGAGTGAATCGGAGCGGTCTGAAGCGAGCTTTATGAGTGTGGAAAGCGGGAGACAGTCGAGCAGCGGGGGGAAACGGTCGTCTCGGAAGGGCGCCCTGTCCTCGAAGCAAAAGAAAGAGCTGGAGAAACTGAAGATGGACGTTCAGGTCATGGAAGAGAAGAGCCGTATGCGAGGGGAGGGGGGCGGAGAGGAGTATGGCGCAGGAGCGGGCGGAGGAGCCCCAGCAGGGGCGGATATGGATACGATTTGGGCGAGCCTGAATCTGAAGACGAATGATGACCCGATGCAGAAGCAGCGGCCCTCGACGGGCGTTCCGTCCAGGCGATCGCGGGGTATGGAGTTTGTTAAGACTAATAGTGATCACTTTGACGTTCGGAGCCCGGGATCGAGTGCGTCAATGAGCTTTCGGGATGAGGAAGGGGACGGGGAGAAGAAAAAGAGCAGCAAAGAGAAGAAGGAGAAGAAGGAGAAGAAGGAGAAGAGCAAAAGGAGGTCTTCGGCTGTGGATTCGGCTTCTGGGCAGGATATGAGTGAAGGGGAGATGTCTTGCACGAGCAGAAGCTCTAGGGCTAGTGCCAAGCCGCGGCGGTCCCGGCAGCACCATCAGCCGGCGCAAGTGGTAGAAGAAGGTGGGGATAGCATGGGGGGTTCGGACTCCCATCTCCCCCCCCTCGCGCCGAACCACGTGGGAGGCTCGGTGCTTGGGAGGCTATCAGTAGGGTCGTCGGAACTGGGAACGACTGATCTTTCTCTTGTGGAGTCTGGTTCGGGAAGCATGGTGGAAGGTTCGTTGGAAGGGGAGCAGGACGAGGAGTTGGAAGAGGTGATGAGGCTTGAGCAGGAGGCGCTGCTGCGATTCTCCCAGGGGACGAAGCAGCTGGAGAAGCAGATTAAGGAGGACCGGAAGCAGGCAGATGCGGCGGTATCGCGGCTGAATGCAGCTAAGGAAAAGCTGGCGGCAGCTCAGAGGGCAGTGGAGGAGGAAGAGAGGAGGGTGGCAGAGGCGGACGAGAGATTCAAAGGGTCGGTCATGGCTATGGAAGATGGGAAAGAGCTTATGGAAGAAGCGTGTCTGGTGGTGAAGAGCAAGGCTGGGGAGTGCCGTGCTGCATGGAAGAAGCACTTAGATGTGACTAACAGGCTGACGTCTGCTCTGCAGATGGGCACGCCTGGTGCGAGGAAATCGGCAAACCGGCAGCGGCAGGAGGATTTCGAGCTGGCTGCTAAGACGCATGAGGAGTTTGTGAGGCTGTATGAGGAGTTAGAGGCTCTATGCAAGCCGAGCCTGCAGCAGGCGATTACAAGGCTGGCGAGTTGTGCTTTAAGGATGGACGATGCGGATTTGGGGCTGGGGGGCGGAGGAGGGGGAGGGGGAGGGGGCATGAGAGGGTTTATGATGGACGGAGGGGGAGGGGGAGGGGGTGGGGGGAGTGGGGATGGAATGGAGGGAGCTGCGTCGATGGGGGCTTTGTAGTGGGGGAGGGAGAGCGATGGTGTGTGTGTAGGGATGGGTGAGAAATCGTTTGTGAGGGGTGATGTTGATGGTTGAGGGGCTGGGAGCAAGTGTGTGGAGAGGGCGGAAGGCTGGACATGCAGATGGAAGGAGTCTGGGCAGGGTGTGTGCCTTGGACGGATAGAGGCTGGGGTGGATAGCAAGTTGCAATGCTGGCAAAGCAGAAGAGAGCACAAAGAGAGAGGGCGCTGGGTGATTTTCAATGAATTATTTGGATAAGGGACACGGAACAGGATGGAACAGGGTTTAGGAAGGAGACTGAGGGCCTTGGTGAGGAGCTCTAGGAGTGAACAATGATCATCCAGGGAAGCGGAGGAGAAGGGCTGATGTTAAGGGCCGATGGGAAGGGCCGATGGGAAGGGCCGATGGGAAGGGCCGATGGGAAGGGCCGATGGGAAAGGCTGATGGGTGCATCATGGCTGGAATTGCCCAGCAAGAGCGAAACGGTTGTGCGTGCGAAAGATAAAAGGGAGCAGGAGGCGGAGGAGTGCTGGCAGGTGGGCGCTGGGAGGGGGGGAGGGGGGGGTTGGGGTGTGAGGTGATAGTGTATGGTGCAGCCAGAAGAAGCTTGTTGGAGCAGCAGTGCCTGAAAGCAAGTGCTTAGCCATTCTGCTGCTGCTGCTGCTGCTGCTGCTGCTGCTGCTGCTGCTGCTGCTGCTGCTGCTGCTGCTGCTGCCACTGCTTCTGCTGGTGCTGCTGGTGCATGTCTTTTCAGAGCCTTTGATCGGATAGAGCCAGTGAGCCAAGTGTTAGGTGCTAGTGCTTCACAGGATGCGTTTTTCATTGTTGTCGGTCGGCTGCTGTTTGATGCTCTTAGGACTGATGTGTGGTGGCAGGCTGGTTCCGATGACATCTTGCTGTCCTGATGGCCGCAGGAGGCCTTGGGGTCTATGAGGGTTAGCTTAGTGGAAATGCCACCACCTGTTGTTGACCTCTCTCACCCTTTCCCAGTCTCTGCCCTTCTTTCACACTTTCTCCCCCTGTTCCTCTTGCCCCCTCCATTCTCGCTCTCTCCCACTTTTTTTGTCTCTCACCACAGACTTCCCATTTCCCTTTTAGCCTTTGTGTGCTAGTACGGCTATGTAACCATTCCTTCGTTTTCTCTGTGGCCTTCTAATTGGCATCTGACCTTACTTTCTTAGAGTAGGTTTCTTACAGAGGTGATTGGCTGACTGACATTCTTATTATAAATTATGGTGCATCTGCTTTTTTTTAGAGAAGTGCGGTCTACGTCTATGTGCCGATTTGTGGTAACTGTGAGTGTGACGAAGTGCACAATATCACAGGGCGTTTCATAGGCGGCTGGAAGGAGATGAGCAAGAGATTTATTGGCCACACGAAAGATATCTGAGTGATTCGATCTAGCTGTCCCCACTTTTGGCAGTTTCGACGAGCATCCGTGATTCGCTGCGGCAAAACACATGGCTTGGCACGTCCAGCATATGGGCAGGGCACCAAAGATCTCAATGTGTTACAACGATCAAGTTTCGCCTTGCCCCTACATTTTCTGGGTTTCTGCAAAGCTGCCAGCAAAGTGCGACTTGACGGCGAAGAATGGCCTTCAAAGAGCCAGCGACGAAGCGGGCTGGGAGGATGCGAGACCTGTTCGGACTGTTCTCGTGCTCTTTCGAGGGACAAAGAGGTGTGATGTGAGGGTTGCGTAGGAGGGGGTTGAACCGCAGCCCGCAACCTACTGGGGGGGCCCGTGTTTATTTCGCTATTCGTTTCGAGTTTTTTCCGGCAAGTTTTCTCCGACCCGAACCAGTTTGTTAGAAGTTTCTCAATTCATTGGTGGGCGTGGGGTGTATTGGGACGGGGGGTCGGTAGGGGGGGGGAGGGGGTGGGAAAGGGGTAGTTGTTGCTCGCTTGCTGTCGGTATTGTCTGTATCAACTGGGGTTTGGGGACTTTCCGGAAGCGCCGGAGGGAACTCGCAGCAATGCGGAGATCGGGTGGCTAGGGGCAAAGCAGGACTGGGCGGTGATGAGAAAACTTTGATCTGTAAAAGGGTAATACGCTCTGAAATCTTGTGCCAGGTGAGATGGGTGCGCGTAGACGAAGCAACGAGGAAGGCGCTTTGTCGCAAGAATCTCACGAACCATTGCCGTAGGCTGGAATTACAACCAATCGGTGCATTCCGAGTGCTTCCGTGGGCTTGGCGCGCAAAATCCTGCATGGAGCATTCAGTGCTTCTCCCACTATCACGGACTCCGTGCCAGGAAACCCGGGCGAACAATAAAACATTCTGGGAGGGAATGACGTGTTGTCCAATCGACATGGGCCCAGAGTGTGCGTGGAGATCTAGGTTCTTGGAAAAAATCAGTGGGGTGCTGGTGGGGCAAACCGACGAGGGAACAATGTGTTCCAGTTGGCTTGGGGCACATGGTGGGACGCCTCCGCGTCAGCACAGACACGTAAGCCTTCCTTACGTAGCTCCGCACCCGCGACTTCCGCCGCTTCCCCCAAAATCAGCACGGTTTCCCCTTCCCTTTCCCCACCTTCCAGCGTCGCCAGGCTGCGCGCGCAAAGCCACTGGCGATCAGACACCCACGCGCGCAAAAACTCCCGCAAACAGCGGTCCGCGCGAGCCATTTTCCGCACGAGCAAGTTTCCCCACCGCACAGACCAACCAAATCCTCCCCAAAACATTGTGAGCCAAGCAACAAGCAAGCAGGAGAAACAGCGTCGCATGTGATAGCCAGGCTCGAGGACCAAGAAATAATTCAGGCCAAGCACATTTTCCATTTAGCCAGCGCAGGCGAAGCTCAGGCAAGGCAAGTCTCAGGCGACCCTGAAAGCCTAGCTGACTCGGTTGTGCTGAGCTGATTCGACCTTGCCTGACGGACGCTGGCCAACCAAGGAACGAGGTTGACGACCAGAACTGGCTTGCTTTGGAAGCAGCAGCTGTTGGAGCCTGCAAGAGGGAGCCTAGTACATTTGGCAGCGCGGAAATATTCCGAGCTAAACAATCAATTCAAACCGTTTGAAGGATTTACCTCTCCTTCAGCAATGGCCTCAAACGAGACGACTTTCATTGCAAGGAAGGCTGTGCCGATGGAAAGCTATGTGCTTTCGTCAAAGGTAAGCCGACAGAATGGCTCTTTGAGTTTTTTTCTTTGTTGCTGTGTTATAGTTATATAATTAAATACGAGGCGTATAACGTGCTTAGTAACTCAAATGCAGCTCGAACATGCTTGGGCCTGCTTCTGACACCTTACATCATAGTTTGTAACGCACATTTCGTCTGTTCCAGTGTTTTCAGTTCACTTATCTCTTGTCTCCGGTTCCCATTCATCGTTGTCTTCTGTCACGCAGGCGACATGGTCAGCCATGACTCCGTCGCATGCGGCTCCTCGCTTGTCTCCACCGTCGCTACCTCATTGTCAGCTCGCCACTCGTCAGCTCCCTCCGCTCCTTCCGCCTCCACACCTGCGCGCTTTCATTGCCACTGACCACCACCCATACTCCTGGTCCGAACCACCTACATCGTCGTTGGCGAACCGTCCATCCGTCCGAGCATCTGTCTCCTTTCGCGGAGCTCGAGCAGGTTCGGTTCCGTCCGTCCCGCCCTCGGCGACGGGTTGCTCCGCGAGCGCCGGTGCTCCTTGGAGCAGGAGTGGCGGGAGAATGGATAACGGTCATCAGCAATCTGTTGCTTCCTCGCCAGCTGATTCCGTTTCTGCGTTACGGTCTCCACTCTTGGTACGCCTCCTAACGCAAGAAACGCTCTGCCATCCGTTTTATACAGAGATTGGCTGGCATGAGCACGAGGTTTGCACAAGCGAGAAGCTCACTGATAAGAAAATCGCCGGCAGGAGTCACATTGTACTTGGCTGTTTGTCAGGAGAGGGCGAAATGTGGTACATTGTGTAGTTTAATTGGTACGTCGAGCGAAATGTGGTACATTGTACATTGTATAGCAAGTGCTAACCTTTATGTCCTTGGTCCTTCGCTGTGCGTGTTCTCAGGCGAAGTCGAAGCAGCCGCAACATCCACAAGCGTGTCAATTGCTCGAGCGGCATGCAGTGCAGCACCGGAATAACCCCTGTCAGAACCAGGAACAGCAGCAGTACGGCGTGAATTCCGAGGAGCAGGCCAGTCTGAAGGCCAAGCCTCACCAAGCAACCAGTTCTGGAAAGAACACAGAGAGCACGGAGAGCACGGAGAGCGCGGATGTGAAGAAGCTAGGAGCGGCGGAAGAGAAGCTGGTGGTGGAGGAGGTGGAGATTCTGGAGTTCTCCAATGACGACATTGCAGGCCCCATCAACCAAAAGCCATTGACTGTGCCTCAGGATGCGTCCTTGGACCTGGTTCACGAGGATTTACTGCCTCCCGCCGCTCTCTCCATGGTCAGTGGCGGTTTTAATCTCTTTTCGCGCTTTTGCTCGCCCGTGTTTTTCTCAACCCGTTTTGCTTGCTGTCTTTGCCTTCGTCACCACCACGCACGAACCAGAATTGCATGCGGTGTCAATCATTTTGTATCAATCGCGTGCAATGTTCAAAGTTTTCTTCCTCTGTTGTTATCTTGGCAAATGCAGGGTACCCTCGACTTCCCGTACGACTGGTCAACCTTCTCTGCCCAGGACCTGCAACCCGAGCAACCCCAATCTCATGCATCCGCCAAGGGAGAGCTCCTGACAATCGCCTCTCTAGAATCCCTTCAAGAGGAGGCTGTCGGCAGCCCAGTGTCAGTCCTGCGGCGCCAAGGCACGTCGCCAGGCTCGGCAACTTCCGTCTGCAGCACGAAGCCTCTCGCAGCGGTCCAGTCGAGCAACAATCTGCTCTCAGGCGATACTCGCGACGACCTCCACTTGGGAGAAGCAGTGGGGTTGCCTGGGCGGGTGCTTCTGTACCCGGACTTTTACCAAGAGGACGGGGACGGAGAGGATTTCAGCGGCGTAATGGAGGATGACGAGATGTGGGCGTCGCTCGGCTCTCCCGAAGCTCCGCACGGCTGGCTTGCCGCTGCTTGCCTGGCCACCTGCTGGCCCAAGGCTCCCCGGTCTAAGAGGCGCCGGGTTTCCATGGAGGTTTCTTGCGCTGATGTGAATGCAGTGTCTGCCTCCGTTGGTGCTGCTGCAAGCGATGACAGCAAGGGCCATGACGGGTCTGAGGTGTTCACTGTGGCTGATTCTGCCAATTCTGACGGCCTCCACGTGGCTGCGTCCGTGTCCGTGGTATCTGGATCAACCATCTTTGCTTCTCCGTCTGCTTCTGCGTCCCTCTTCGCGTCCAGTATCCCCAGAGCTCTCTCGTCTGACACCCTGTCAGCAGTCACTGCTCCGCAGTCGACTGCATCTGCAGCAGCAGGAGCAACTTCCTGGGTCCAGCCGCGCACGGCGTTCCTGCAAGCCCTTCTAGAGGACGTGAGAAGGCCAAAGCGCATTCGTGGCTCCACTGCTTTGGCTGGCTCTTTCCAGTTCGGAATGATGGAGGAGAGTCACGATGGGGCAACCAGCGACTCCCCTGCTGCCCATGCACGTGGGCTGGCTCGCACCCCTAAGAACAAGAGAGACGCTGCGACAGCGTTTGGTGGCACCACGGCTCTGGGCGTGCTTCTCTTGGTGCCTGGTTCGTCCAGCAGTGGGAGTCCTTACGCCTCGGAGTATGCAGAGACGTGGAACTCACCCTCAGGTTCTGGCTCCCCTGGCTGGTCAGGTGCGGCGGCTGGTGCTGATGGTTCTCCTGGTGCTGGTGCTGGCTCCGGTTCTAGTTCGGGTTGGTTCAGGACGAACAGCACCAGCAGTCTTGAGAGCTTCTCGGGAACTCCGAACGTTAATGCCGCCGCTTCTGCGAATCCAGCTGCAGCAGTTTTCGCTAGTAATGTCAGCAATGGCGTTCGCCGGTGTGTGCACTGCAAGTCCACCAAGACCCCCCAGTGGAGGATGGGCCCTGCAGGGCCCAAGACCCTTTGCAATGCGTGTGGCGTGCGGTTCAAGAAGGGGAAGCTGTGTCCTGAGTACCGGCCTGCCAACAGCCCGGAGTACGAGGAGAGCAAGCACTCGAACCAGCACCGCAAGATACTGGCCATGCGCAGCAACGTGACTGTTGCCACTAGCTGATCCCAGCCTGTCTGATTGTGGATTTTCTTTCTTCTTGGAAATGCTTGGAGATGGTGGCATATAGATTCACTTCTTCCAAGTGGGTGGTTTGAGTGGATGACCTACCGTACAAGCAAGCTTCGCTTTGAGTATGTGGTGTGGAAACGTCTGTTGGGGGTTTGAAGATGTGCCATTCAATGTTGCCTGCCTTTTGGCCTTTGAGCGCATGCTTGAGTTGCAGGCAACAGCCTTGATTTGGTTTGATGATTTGGTTTGTTGAGCAAATTTGCACAGCTGCAATCAAATTGGATTGCGTTTTTTATGCTCAAGTATCACATACCGGTACCTACAAGTCGTTCAATTGGAGAACATGAAACCTTTTGAGGGAAAGCGTATATCTGAAAATGGAGTAGTCCCTTGCTTGCTTGGTGTTGTTTTGTAAGATGTAGACTATGGATAACGATTTGTACCGGTATGTGCGTAGGAGGAAGAGTGTCAGTCAGCTCACTGTGTCCCCATGGAGCGGTATGTGCGTAGGAGGAAGAGTGTCAGTCAGCTCACTGTGTCCCCACGGAGCGTGTTCCGTTTGCAGATGTCAACTCTCAAGTTTAAAAGGCTTGCCTCTAATTTGACTGATTGAAACGCTCATCAGAATGCTGCACATGAGAAACAAAATCCATAATATGTTGTCTTGCTAGTAGAACAGTGGAGTTTTTTATAAGCAGAAGATTCTTTTCCTATGACTCGTTATTAATACCAGACTGCGCTCCGCACGGATCAAGTTCGGGCAAGTCGGGAGTACATTCGTCACATCTCAAAAGCATGTCGCACACTTGGTTCGTGCGTCCCGCGTCCCAAAGACATCCGTTGCGACGAAACCTTGTTTGGCGGGTCACGCGACAACTGAGGTAAACGGGCCCGGCCTGAGACCGCGTCGCAGACTCGCAGGGGCCCCCAAGCCCAACCATCAAGCGCGCCCACCGACGCCGCCTGACTGACTGGCCTTACCAGACCAAACCACCCGTTCTGGCCCGAGGTAGCCTCACGCAACTGGTGAAGTTCCACAAGCGGACCTACCCCGAACCGCACCCATGCCACAACATCCCCAAGCCACTATTTGCTCGAGTCGTATCTTGCGGAAACCTTATCCGAACCTAATGTATCAGCACTCTCGTCATGCCGAAGCTCTACCCGACGATACCCAAGGCCCAGTTCGGCAGGCATTCTCGCCATTATCGCCATTATGGGCTTTTTTAACGGGCCCCCAAAAAATGGCCCCAAGAAACAGACTGTAGCTGCAGTGAAACTTCGAAAAAATGGGCCCGAGTGTTCGGTTGGCATTAAATGAGCCAGATTAATGGCATCAACCGAAAACGACACTTCGGAGAAGCCTGTACGCAGCCGCGCTGATGGAGCGCAGAATAACTGTTTTGGCAGCCCGGGTAGCCCTGCAAACCAGCGGTGGACGTCGAAAAAAATAGGGCAAGGGAAACTGTCCGTTCGATGTGTTAGTGATGGTGTGTTGGTGATGTGTGATTTTCCAGCGGGCACGAAGAGGGGTGAGAAAGACCGGGATTTGTTTTTTTTCAGGGCAAGGTGTGATTGCCCCGAATCAATGATCTCCCGCATGGTGCGGGACCTCTAGGCCGCATGGTGCGGCGGATGAGAAAATGGACAGTTTGCCTGAGAAATATGGTTCGAGGAAGGTTCCACCGGTGGAAAATGCCAGCGTTAAAGCGACGGTGCACATTTGCCACCCAAAACCCAGAACCCTGGCGAACTGTTACTGCGGATGGAAAGTGTCCGCACGAAATCCTGGTTTTCGCCAGCCAGCACTTTCGCGCTGGCAAGCCTGGTTAAAAAAAAAAAACTTCTGAACCCAACACTGCCAAAAGTTGCCCGTCGCTTTAAAAGGGGTGTTCGGCTGGCATTTCATTATTGTCTGGTTCGGCGATGATCCGCTTATATCGAGCCTAGATAACCTTTCACGCGCTTATCAAAGAAGGTTCCAGGGTGGTCGGTTTACTGTAGCCCATCCAAGGAAACCGTTTTTTTAATGCCTGCCGAACCGGGCCCAAATTTCTGCCCCGCAAACACGCACACTGAAGGGCAAAACCACTCGTAACAAGAGGGAAGGGACTCGACAAAAAAGCAAAATTGATCAATCACAGCAGAGAGATATGGTACAGATCCAGGCCTAGACTAGTTTGATTTGAAAGCTCCGTATTAGCAGTGGCATCAGTGCTGTCTCTTATTCCAATATTGCCTCCGTTGTCGTCCCAGGCACTTACTTACAGCCTTATTTCCGGCCTACGCCAGCACTGATCCGTGTCACTCATTCGCTCAAAGCGACAGGGCGCGAGCATCGACCGGATCAAGACTAGGTTCGAGGGCACATACGCATAGGAAGAGCTTCCCAAGCAGCGTTTCTACAGACTCTGCACGTCCTTCCGGCACGCCATGTCGTTCAATCAGCCCGCGCAACAGCAAGCTGCGCCCGCATCCCTGCCCGCCCTCCCCGCTCCGCCGCTTCCCCCGCGCCCGCAATGGGGGGACCGAACAACCGCTGACGTGTTACTCCGCGTGTGGGCCTCCCGCGATGCGCCTGCGCCTCTCGCCACTTTCCCCCTTCACCTCTCGCTACTCGTCGATAAGAGCAAGTACCTCGCATGCCTCCTCCCGGACGCCGCCGCCGCCGCCGCCGGTGGCGGCTCCGGCGGCGCCGTGGCGACGCCGCAGGATCCGCACGTGCTCGACGAAGAGCTCGGCGACGCGGGCGACGTCGCAGTGTACGCCGCCGTGCTTCGCATGTTCTACGTCCCGCTGCCCGAAGCCGTCGTCGTCGCTCTCGGCCCGCTTCTCGGATCATCATCATCCCCGATAACACCTTCCTCGCTTCCGTCACAAGCCGATGCAGGAGCGGCGGCGGCATCGGGGACCGGTCCCACCCCGCAGCGCCCAGCAGGACCTCTCATGGGCGTGCAGAAAGTCCTCGAAGCGCTTGTTCTCGCGGTGCGGCTGCAATTCGACGCGGCGGTGATCGCGTGCCTGCAATTCCTAGAATCCGTACCCTGGTCTCCCGCCGAGACGCGCGTGATCCACCAGCATCTTCGAGAGCTGCAACTTGCCGGCTCCATCCCCTTCTCCGCCGTCTCCGCCTCCGCCGCCGCCGGCGGCGCCGGCGCGGGTTCCGCCGCAGCGACCGCGCTCTCCTCGGAGCGCGTCTTTGCGCGCCTGCCGCCCGTAAACGATCCGCTCACGACTCTGCGGTCGCTTCTGGCGGTCGCGGTGATCCATACCGAAGCGAATCCTCTATCGCGTATGCAGGAGGAGGCGCGGAACGCCGTGTGCCTGCTGCTGAGCGCCGAGCGCCCCGGCGCGGGGGACGCGGGGGGGGAGGGAGACGGGGGGAGCGAATGGGAACAGCAGCAGCAGCGGCTGCGCGCGGCGGCGGAAGAAAGCGGCGGGCAGGCCGGGGAGGACGGGGAGCTTCCGGTGATTGGCTTCGAGGCGAAGCGCGGCGCGCTCTTAGATGCGTTCGTAGGCCTTGTCAACACGTTGCTGAGGGAGGCGCAGAGCCGAGGCGCCGCGACGGGCGCCGGCGCGATTATCCGCACGTACTGGGACGTCGGCGGAAAGCCCGCGCCGGCGACGCTGGCGGCGACGACGTCGCCCGTAACGGATATTAATCTCCTGGCGCGGTTGAGGGGTAAGGAGGGGACTATGGCATGGCTAGTAGGCGTGATGCTGGAGTATGGTTTAGCTGACGAGGTATTTCACTGGCTCTCTACTGATAAGCGGCTCCACGACGATATTAAGTCTACTATGGGGCTGCAGACCACCTCGCGGCACCGCCACCTGCTCGTCAAGACCGCAGTGCACGGCGTACTTAAAGCCTTCGCGTCGCGCCGCCTCGTCGCGCCGACGGACTTAAGAGTGCTGTTCTCGTCGATCTGGCTGAGGCTGTTGCTACACTACTGCCTGCGTTACCCTCCCGCCGCCTCCTCGCGACCCGGCGGCGAGGGTGCCGCCGCGTCCGGCGCCGGCGGAAGCGCCGCGATGTCCGCGCAAGCCGCCGCGACGGCGCAGCTTCTCTCGACGCTGAGCGTCGGAGCAGGCGGGAAACCCGTGGCTGGGGCTGGCTCAGTAGCGGGAGCGGCGGGCGCGGGGGGTGTGGCAGCGGCAATCGCGGCGCAGGACAGCTTCGTCTTTTGCCAGTGCGAGTGCTCGCCGGTTCAGGCGGAGAAAATGGTACGCGGTATGAACGACCTCGTTAGCACGTTACCGAGCGCGCAGCAGGAGGCGCTGTACGGATTCTGGAACCAGGGGCGCGCCGCGACGGGCGCGTTCGTCCCCGCGAGCGTGTCGCAGCAGAGCGCGGCGTACGGGCCGCCTCCCAACGGGTGGATGAACCTATCGCGCGCGTACACGCTGTTCCTGGCGCGATCCGGGCCGATCTGGCAGCCGACCGTTGCTGAGATGCGGCGAGGATTCTAGAAAGAGCGCAGGAGAGAGATTCCAGTGGTGCGAGGGATTCCGACTTTAGAGATTCCGATTTTAGAGTGAAGGGAGTATCGAACGGGGGTGGGGGCATTCGGAAAAGGGCTACCTTTGCACTCCTGCAGGTGTTCCTTCCCCTAATTGGTGGGTTCCTTCCCCTCTATATGTGTGTGCAAGGTGATGGTTGATGGGCAGTGGAGCAGGGGAGGCAGAGTAGTAGGCTTGGGGAGGGGAGGCCTGGAGAGGCAAGGGCAGGAAGGAAGGGAGGGAAGGGAAGGGAGAGCAGGATACGTGGGAGAGGAAGGAAGGGCAGGAAAAGGGGATGTGCGAAATTAGTGCTGTAGCCTGTATCTGATGGTTGGTTTGAATGTGGTGGTGTAGTGTTGTGGTGAGTATATTATTGTGCCCGTTCCAGTCACGTGGATGTCAAGGGGATAGCGTGAACATGCGCAGGAGGAGGGGTTATGCGTAGGGGAACAGGGAAGAAGGAAGCGATACAATAGCTAATGAGCTAATACCAT